AACAATTTAAGAACAAACAAACAGCCAGTTAAAATTAGGAGACAAAAAAAACTATACATAATATATATTCTTAAAACTAGTGCCTCAGGGTGATGCTAAAACTTAGGAACCAATTCAGCATGATGTCAGAATTTTTTTAAAAAAGAAATTTAATATTCCCCTTTACCACTCGTGGAGAGCTTAAATTGCTTGTGTTACGAGTGGTTCACGCCAGTATTCGAATGGCGGATTCGAACCCACGACCTTCTTGAGTTCGCGGTCCGCGCCCTGCCATTGGGCTACTGTCGATTCAGATTGGAAACCTAACGCTGATTTTCTATTGGCCCCCTGGATTGCATTCGTCTTCACCTGCGAAACCAGTTCCGTGTACTTCCGCAAGAATAATCAGTATACGTGAACTCTGTGAAGAAACATATATGATTACTTATTTAATAAATGATTAATAAAATATGTATATAATATATGACAGGATACAAATTAATTACTTTATTATTAACAAGATATAGCGCGTGAAACCGTAACAACATAATAAAATCATCATCATCATCATCATCATCATTACAGCCCTTCACAAGTCCACTGCTGAACATAGGCCTCCCCCAAGTAATGCCACAAAGCACGGTCCTGAGCCACCTGCATCCATCGACTTCCTGCATATCTTACCAGGTCGTCACTCCATTTAGTGGGGCGTCGCCATACACTACGCCTACCGGTACGAGGCTGCCACTCGAGAACCTTTCTTCCCCATCGGTTATCGGTTCTTCGAGCTATATGGCCGGCTCATTGCCACTTCAGCTTACTAATCCGTTGGGCTATGTCGGTCACTCTGGTTTTACTGCGGATATCCTCATTTCTGAGTCTATCACGCAGAGAAACTCCGAGCATAGCCCTCTTCATAGCTCGCTGAGCGACCTTGAGCGTCCTCATACGGCCAGCAGTGAAGGACCACGTCTCAGATCCGTAAGTCATCACTGGCAACACGCACTGGTTGTACAATCTAGTTTTTAGAGATTGAGGTATACCTGACGAGAAGATATGTCGTAATTTCCCGAACGCTGCCCAGCCGAGTTGAATCCGTCGATTGACCTCTCGGTCGAAGTTGTACTTACCGAGTCGGACTATTTGTCCCAGGTTAACGTACTCGTCAACAACTTCGAGCATAGTGCTCCCAACAACTACCGGCATAGGTATGACATGGACATTAAACATGATCTTTGTTTTGTCCATGTTCATCTTAAGACCTATCCGTTGGGAGACACCATTGAGGTCTTTGAGCATAGTGCTAAGGTCCTCCAGTGATTCTGTCGGGGATATAACGTCACCCTGTCTTACACCTCTCTGCAGTTGGATAAGTTCTCAACTCTGATTCTTTACTTGGATAGCCATCGTATCCCTACTGTACAAACACTTCAGCACTTCGATATACCGACAGTCAACTTGGCACCGCTGAAGGGATTGTAGCACCGCCCAAATTTCGACGGAATCAAAGGTTTTCTCATAGTTCACAAATCTGTATATGTGATCTATGGTACTGAAGCCTTTTCGGAAACCGGCTTGTTCGGGAGGCTGGAAGTCGTCGAGTCTTTGTCTTAAATATCATATAATTAGTTTTATCAGGGTTTAATAGTAGGCAGTTATGCTTAGACCACACAGCGATACGTTCTAAATCGTTATTTAGATCCTTAACAGCTGTTTCCCGTTGACCGGGTTTGAACGAGATGTAAAGTTGTGTGTTATCTGCATACATATGATACAGACATTTTTCAATATTTTTTGGTAAGTCCGCACAATATAAGTTAAGAATAATAGGGCCTAGAATGGAACCCTGTGGTACTCCTCTGTTCACAGGTGCTAGGTTAGAATCCACAGAGGTTTCATTCACACGACACAAACTGACTAATTGCTTTCGATTGGATAAATAACTATTGAACGAGGACAGCGTGCTATTTAGATATTGGACGTAGTAATTTACATGTTTTACTGGCGGCGTAAGATAATACATTACCCGATTTCATTCCATTGTTGCTGTTAAAGATAACTTTGGAAAATTAAAAAAAAAACGTTTTTGGTTTCCAGTACACTGCGGTTAATGCTCATAAGCGCACATAATAAATAATACGATCAAAAGAAAAGTATCTTCAGGCTTATCGTTTCCCTCAGACTTTATACTTATTACAGCTACTGAACAATATGTGGTAGTGGATATTCTTACTCTGCAAATCCAGTCTAGACAAACAGGCCAATATATGGTCAGCAGCTTCTTTTTCACCACATTTATCATCATCATTACTGACCTTCACATGTCTACTGCTGAAAAAGGACTCAACCAAATAACGCCTCAAAACACGGTTCTGAGCCACATTTTTATAATAAGGGTGACAAACGAACACACAGTCTTCTTGATGGTATGTGGATGATCTGGCCCATAGACATCTTTATTTATCCTAGATTAAGAATCAAAACGCAGAAAGATGGAATGCCTCGTTTCCAGTAAAATCTCGGATCTCTACACTCACCAAACGAAACACAGTAGCATTAAGCTGCTATTTTACGCTGGTATTCTGTGAGAGCATGGTACTACCCAGGTCGAGCTGACCCATTCGTGCTACAACTATAATATAGCTGTAGCGTACCTCTACCACGTATAAGCATAATATCCTGCATATTTACCTGTATCCGTTAATTTCCTGCATATCTAACCAAACCGTTACTCCAGCTTGTGGGAAGCCGCCCTACACTCTGTTTACCAGTACGAGTTTGCCACTCGAGAATCTTCTTCGTTTCTTCGTCTTTCTCATAAAAACGAAAAATGTATGAACTGCGGTTGGCAACTATGTAAAATGCCTCACATATGAGAGTCCTTTGTTGTTGTGTTGTGTTGGACTTTTGATTGACAGTAACGGTATTAGTACCGTTAAAACATCGTGACAATTAAAACATAAATCCTGTCTATAATCAGAGAGGCACACGACAAATAGTTAAGTATAAGCAGCTGATGATGAAGAATAAGGCAGGTGTCTATTGACGCCCAAGCGTGACGTACATGCGACGATTGTGGGGTTTGCAAAGAGTTTCGGTGCTCACACAGAATACTGAGCAGGTCGACGAGGTGCATGGCTGGCTTCCGCACTCTTAAAACGGAACGTTTTACTTCGTTGTAAGCTCACGACTCACGACTTTCCTTTTAATTGTGTAATAATGTAATTGAGGGTAATTTGATCACCTTCAGCTTTGCGCCTTATTAATCCAAAACTAGGAGGAGCACAAAGACAAAAACACAAAGTCGTATACTATAACTACGTAATATATAAAGAAAAAATAGCAAACAAGATCTGACAATAATTAGGAACAGTTCAAAAGTCAACCTAAAACAGCTATTGGTCATTGTCAACTGTCAAAACGGCGTCGATAAAGCAGCATTACTTTCACATACGCTACAATCTACTCTTTAAACTTTATTTAAGTTTTGGGTTATTTATTTATTCTAAGCGATTAAAAATGTTCTTTTAAGCCGGATTTAAATAAAATAAAATCCGGATCGGTGGATATTTCTTAATATACAGATATATATATATATATATATATATATATATATATATATATATATATATATAAAGGTTATGTAATAGACAATTGTTCACAATAAATACTGAAATGTTTAAAATTTGAATACTTATTGATATGCTTACTTGCTCTTATTTTTCCTTTAGTCAGAAAGCCAATACATATCGATGACTTTACAAAAACTGTTAAAAACGAAAATGGGATCCCATTAATCAGCGACGGTGTAGCCAAAACAAAATCCAATCAACGAGCGAAAATGCTTCTATATAAACAACCGCGTCGGTTTCTGAACAGTCGATGTATGGAGGCTCGTTTATCACGGGTCATGCGTTAGCTATGCCATTAACGAGGGGTAATATGGCCCTCCTGACGACAACACAACATCATGAAGTTGAGCTAAGATATATGTTACTTTCTTCATCTCTGGACAGGGAATCGACCATTTAACGTTTGTTATTGCGTTTCTGAACGTTTAAGTGTTTTACGATGGTAATATCAAACGTCGAAAGGATCATAACGGCAAGGTGATGCTATATTTATTAGATAAAACATTTCAATATCGTTATGGAGTTAAGGCTTATCATAAATCATGTTATACGATAGTAAATATATTTTTTTTTATAATGAGGGGACGACAAACGGGCACTCAGTCTACCTAGTGGTGTGGCCCATACACGTAAGCATTTTTATCTTCGATAAAGAATCAAAATGCAGATGCGTTGTCACCCCTATGGGCTAGTATAGAATGCCTTGTTTTTATTAAAATGGTCTCCGGTTATCTACACTTACCATAAAAAACACTTCGTCATTACGCTGTTATTTTACGCTTGTATTCTGTGAGAGCGTGGTCTTTCTCCGGTCGCGCCGACCCATTCGTGCTACAACTATACTACTAATATAATTATAGCATGGCTCTATCACGTACGAAGTGTTTTTTATTTACAACATTAGGGGCACACGAACACGCGGCTTACTTGATGGTAAGTGACTACCGACATCCATGAATCGCGGATAAGTTGCCAACCTTTTAAAAAGTGTAAGTATCCTTCTTGAAGGTCTCTAACTTGCATCGGTCTCGAAAAATCGTTGTTGGTAGTTGATTCCACAAGGAGGTTGGGCATAGGATAAAAACTATCAGTATATCGCTCGGTAATAGGCCGGTAATCATACAGGTTAACACTAGCTTATCTAGTATGGTAATGTACAGAGAATGCTTTATTTTTCCATTTATTATACATTTTAAGTTTTTTTTTAATTCTTCTCGTTACCTTCTATATAGCGTAAATACAAAAGCGACATCTTAGAAAACTTTTCATAAAGAATTTGGTAACTAGTAATGGTAACATAATAAATATATACCATGATAATAAGATAATACTTTATTTTACATAATTTAGTAATCGCCAAAATGTTCAATACAATGAGTTTTATTTCAGATACCGCTCCCGAGCTGCATTACACGTTTATAGAGCAAGCTCTGCACCCTGGACCTTCACTGACTTTACACTGCTCCGCGTCTGGCTCTCCTCCGCCGCGGTTCACATGGCTCCTAGACATGCAGCCTATAGAAGAACATAACACCCCGCAAAGGTTACTTTAATTACTTCACATTTTTATTAATTCCTGATATCTTATTTATCACGTGTTTGACGGTGATGAAAAACATCGTAAAATATTGTAAGACATATATCATGCGCTTGTACGAGTTGAGCCAGCGTGGCTGGTTTGTGTCTTCCTCCAACGTCTTTCAGAAGCAACAGAAGATCTGGAGCTCGCTCAGAGCATTATGTGGGCTGCTGCTTCACATTTTCACTGAATGATACCTATTTAAAATTCCTTTAAGAAACATGGCAGCTTGGAAATAAAAATTAAGTTTTACTAAGAATTAATTATAATTTCGTTTTACTCATTATCTCACCGTGTTTACTTGTTAACTAAATACTTGGTAAAAATAATGACCACAACATTAAATACGGATTTTTCATTAAAAATGTTGGTAATTGGTATCCATAGAATAAGAGTTTGTTTTTCATCGGTGGATGAAAAGATTTTTGAGGAGACATACATGGGTTAGAAACAAAAAAATCATATAACCGTATACCTAATTATAATGTACTTTTATTTTATTTTTTGTTTCACATAATCATTTTATACGTTGTTCCTTTCATTCAAGTTACCACGTGTTCGATGGTTAAAGAAAACATCGCGAGAAAACCTAGGTATCTGAAAAATTACAAAATTAGAAAACATTTCAAGGACACGTAACATGAAAAGTCCACAAACACGCATTGAGGTATCGCAGCAGACTCTTCCTTGTCATAAAAACTCTCTTATAATGTGAGCAGTCTTGAGCCCAGCAGTTAGACATCTACTACAAAGGCTGTAACCTCAACTTTAACTTTTCATGTTTATCCTTAACATAAATTCACATTTCTGCTACAGGAGTGTAACTCAGTTCATGAACCCCAACGGCGACGTGGTCAGTTACTTGAACATAACCTCAGTGCGGCCTGAAGACGGTGGCCGGTACACGTGCAGAGCGCACAACTCCCGGGGCGTGGTCGAACATTCCACTCGGCTTAACGTTTACGGTTATATACTGTTATTGTTCTATAATAATAATTAATAATAAATATCAAAACTCTTTATTGGTCAATAAAATTGTCTAATGCTAGATTTCGGCGTCTTACATCGTATGGAGGATTTGCCTTAAACGTCACGCTTGATCATTTCAATAAATATATGTCGTAGCTTTATGGTAAAATTAGGTTATTGATCACAAACCTAGGCTTTTACTCAAGAACCGGAAAAAGACAAAATTATTATTTAATATTTTCGTTAAACATAAATAATCCAGTTTTTGATTAAAAACCTGAACTTGTATGCTCTTATGATAAAATTTAAGCTTAGATTTGGTTACCTAATTATTTAATTCATTTTAAGAAATAGCAACCGATATTGATTTTATCATAAAACTAAATTAGTCTAGATTTTTGATCAACAAACTAGATTCTATGTCGGTTCATTATTAATATAAAATCAGATTTATGATTAACATAAAGTAGTAATTTCGTCTTCTTCCGGTTCTTGATAAAAAAGCCTAGGTTTTTGGTCAAAAACCCAATTTTACCATAAACCTGTGACATAATATAGTGTATATTATTGGTATGTTCCAAAATAGAACCCAGTGTACTGTCCAATGCAAATGACGTCATGAATCGACGCTATACTGGTGATTCGTTCCAAAACATAGGACAGTATATGACGTCATACATTTTCGCCATATTGGAAAAGTGTTGGCGATTATTTTGTCATTTTGTGCTCCAAAAATCATTATATTCTCCTAATGGAGATACCAACAATTATTCTATATTTTTTTTTGTATTTGAATAAATAAAAACAAATTCCGGCATGCTTCATTCAGCGCACACACAATTAAAAATTGTTTTATTATAGCCGATATCCGACACAATATGGCGGCGGCACGCCAGTACAATATAGTGTCAATTGACGACGTCATTTGTATTCGGCAGTATACTGAAAACGTTTCGGAAGATACCCTTAGTCGCAGGTTTTTGGTAAAATCAGGCTTTTTGACACATTTATATATTTTCTGAAACATTAAGGCAAGAGTGAATAGGTTTTTGTTGAGTAATGACTTAGATACGTTTTACCATCTTTTTATAGAATAAGGGTGACAGATAAGCACACAGTGCACCTGATGGTAAGTGGTTGCTGTAGCCCATACACATCTACATTTTCTCGATTAAGAAACAAAATGCAGATGCGTTGTCACCTGTGAGGACTAAGATCGAGTGCTATGTACCCAGTAAAAATGATATCTGGAGTTTTGGATGGTGAATGTCTCTACATTCATCATCCAAATCACAGCAGCAATTAACAGCTATTTTACGCCAGAGTTCTCGCTGAGAGCGTGGTCCTGCCCCGGTTTAGCTGATGCATGTGATACAACCATAATATAACTGAAGTGTGGCTCTATCACGTACTTTTCTAAACGCTCATATTAATGCTTTGAGCAGGTCCCCCGTCCATCAGGAGCATCGGCCCTCTTCGAGTGGTGGCGGGCATCAACACGACCATCTACTGCCCGTACTCCGGATTTCCAATCAGGTTGATGGAGGTGCATTTGTTTAGAAAAATTATAAGTTTGTTCCTTTCGTAATTATTACTTAATATAATTTATTAATAAAATTCAAAACAATTCTTAGAAAGTATAAACTACATTTCTTACCACATTTATCTCGCGCACGGTGGTGGAGGTCAACATCGTGAGGAAACCTCCATGTCTGAGAAATAAATAAAAAATTTGAGGACATTTGTAGTAAGAGTGCAATTAATGCTAATTAGTAGAATCAGGCGTTACTTTACGAAAATCCGTTATATTAAAGTTGGTAAGAATTATGTCACCCATAACCGCTCAATGAAATAAAAACGGACAGCCACCGCAAAGTCGTACTTTATCTAAGCATGCCTCGTGTCGAGGCGAAACACGTGTCGTATTACTGTCGGTGTTGTGAGTTTCCTAGTGTAGTGGTAATCACCATTAATCCCAGCCCTACTACTTCCGATAGGAGTAGTAGTGCTGGGATTATAGGTGACGGGAATAGTGCTCGCAATTGAGGGGGAGCGGGAGGTTCTCTTCAAACTAGGTAAGATCTTATTATTTCACTGAGTGGATATGGGCTAAGTAATTCTTACTTACTTTAATGCAAATTATGTATTTAAAATGCCTCCAACGTATTGAAGAAATTTCTAGTGCTTTCCATTTTTTATAAATACAGAATTCATAACTATTACTATGAAAAAAGCGAAATTAATAATATTGATAAACGCTGAGCCACTGCGATAGCGAGGAATTAACTTTTTATTTATTTATTTATGTACACACAACAATATAGAGAAACAGTTTTATAGTCAGTTCGTACAAAGGTTCTACTTATTCCATTATTTCCTGAAACATCTTTCAGTAGACCAATAAAGGAAAATATATTTAAATAGCAAACTTAGTACATACTTTAATATTACTAATGAATAAATAGTATACAAAATGTTACGTAATTTATATCATACATGAAATATATATAAACATAATATATAAACACATATATGAAAATAATAAATACGGTTATTACAAATGATATTCATATAATAATGGTAATATATTAAAGTCATATATATTGCGACACAGAAATTATCTCTTAACACATTTAAATGATACACACTTAAATGCCAATAAAATTTCAGAATTTCTTATATTAGGCGGTAGTGAAATCTGCAACCTTACCGCGTGGAAAAAAAATAGTGAGAGTAAAAACAGGGACTATGGACGGGAAATTTAAGAAGAGTTTTGACAAGAGATCTGCATGGTTTATTTGGAGAATGGGTGAAGGAAAATTGGCTTCTGAGGGTTGTGCAGGAAGTTATAGAGGAGACATATAACAATCGAGCGTTTCTTCGGAACCACTTGAGTTGCATGCGAAACGGAGATATTCGGTCAAATTTCTTAAGCCCAAATATGAAACGGATACACTGATTTTGCAAGCACTCAAGTTTATTAAGGAGCTTCTCTATAGCATCAAAAAAATAGCAGGCATAATAAAGGACAGGTACGATAAGAGTGAGCAAGAGTGATATTTTAGCTTGTAGGGGTAAGACACTTTGTAGACATTTAAGCAAATGCATGATAAAGTGGACCTTACGACCAACCTCAGCGATGTGCCTGGAACGTAATTAGTGGTGATCACATATGACGTTTAATTTTTGACAGTATTTTCGAAGGCTATAGTAACGCCACTCAAAAAATGTGAGGCAGTGATGTAAATTCTAATTTATTACGCTAATGCCTGCTGCTTATTAAGATGACCTACGATTTCTTTGGATTAAATAAAAAGGATGCAGACCATTTAGAGATGCGGCTCATATCCGCTGATTCATGGCTTCAATTGCATCATTTGTATCATACACCGAAAAATGATAATATAAGTCATCCACGTAGAGATTGAAATTAGATGTAATAACTCTCGTAATGAAAAGAGTTAGTAAATATATAAAATAGAAGAGGAGAAAGAACGTCACCCTGAGCTACACCCATAGTGATACCAGAACAATCGAAAAGAGTGTCATTAAAACGGACTTACTGCGAGCGACCACTAAAATACGAATCAAACCAAGCAATGGCAGATGGGTAAATGTTTGTAGATTCCAGGACCCGTAGAAGAATATCGAAGTCTAGTGAGCTAAAAACACTGCTACAGTAGTACTACTTAACTTTTCACTTATTTTTATTTCCTATTTAGGTTGTCTGGAAGAAATTGCTGCATAGCAATAAGACCGCCTTTTGTTTTTCTCTTTGTTTGTTCTTTGTTATGTTGTTTTCTTAGTGTTCAATAAAGGGTATTGTATTGTATTGTACAGTAGTGAAAAATTAAAAGAGTGAGAGATTTGTTGTCCATGGCGCAACTGATATCATCGGTAACTTTAAGTAAGGCAGTGACAGTACTGTGTTCAGGACGAAAGCCCGACGGATATGTAGAAAGCGAGGAGTTAGACGATAAGAAGACTTTTTTTTAAGTTATAATATTTATTTGTATAATATAATATAATATTTTTTTTATTATTATATTATTAAGCCGTGGTAGCTCAGTGGTTAACGCTCGCTGTAAATATAACAGAACGCGAGTAACCCGGGTTCGATCCCCGCCGGCACCAATGAAATTGTTAATTGCAATTTTAAGTGCTGATTTACCACGTGCTCGGCGGTGAAGGAAAACATCGTGAGGAAACCTGCATGTCTGAGGAATAAGAAAAAAAAATATTTCGAAGACATGTGAAGTTCGTCAACACGCATTTGGGCAGCGCGGCGGACACTTCCTTGCCCTAAACCCTCTCAGAAATGAGGGGAGGCCTGAGCCCAGCAGTGGGACGTATATAGGCTGTAACTTTACTTTACTTTACTTTATATTATTAAGTGTCCAATCATTTTTTACATCTATATTTTTTATTTAAGAAATTATTAAACATTAGGATTTTCTCCAGTATCGTAGAGCCTGTTTAAATACATAAATTGCACAAAAATGAACGTACAGTCACATACGAACTTCGAACTAGTAGCCCACCACAACTCAATTCTAAGCCACTGCTCCAAGAAGCCGTGAACTATTTTTAAACATATTTTTAACAAACAGCTTAATTTTAAATGATATTTGTTGAAATAATCAATCAAACATAAAAAAGAGAAAGACATGGAACTAAATATTACAAAGTAATGAAACCGTTCAAAATTCTATTAATAATATAAATTAAATTAAAAGATCACTCGGATTTCGAAAGTAAATAAGCCTAATGAACGTTAAATCATTTGAATTCCCCATTTTTCTCAGCGATATACGCTGGCAACGTGGCGGAGTAGACGTGAGTACGACGGGCGGTCGCGCTCTCTCGAGCCTGGGCGGCGAGCTCCTGTTGTGGCCTGCCGAGCCCGCGGACGCTGGAATCTACTCGTGCCGAGTCACTGCACCATCTGGCCAATACGCACAGAAGGATGTACAAATATTTGTGAGAAGTAAGGAGTTAATTTATAATGCCATATTTCATTCATTTGTTTTATTTTAAATCTTTACGTTAAGATAAAGGATAACGGATTAGTAAGCTGAAGTGACAATGGGCCGGTCATATAGCTCGAAGAACCGACAACCGTTGGGGAAAAAAGGTTCTTGAGTGGCAGCCTCGTACCGGTAGTCAAAGTGTAGGGCGTCGCCCACTAGATGGAGTGACGACCTGGTAAGACATGTAGGAAGTCGATGGATGCAGGTGGCTCAGCACCGTGCTGTATGGCATACCTTGGCGGAGACCTATGTTCAGCAGTAGACTTGTGAAGGGCTGTAATGATGATGATGATCATGACGTTAAGATTATAAATTGGAAGACTTAACGCTTTTAGATATTCTCTAGCAATCAACCTCAAGCTAGGCATAGAAACTTAAGCAGGTGCCATAAAAACATGAAATCACATGTCAAAGGTTTCATAATGTTGTACCACATTGAACTTGTAAATGGATGCTGAAGGTTCAAGTTCGTGTTAGTGTCATTCATTAGGGAAAGGTTTGTGTTCAGTAGCAGACTTGTGCGGGGCTGTTATGATAGTGATTAATATGATTAGTGATAATGAAGAACTAGGACATGGACACACAGTTACAGTAACTTACCAGAAACTGTGTAGACTCTTGTCAGCCGAGAGTAAATTAGAGCATGAATTAAAATATTATTTTATTAATAATTGATCGTTTGTGGATATAGTCAACATGACCGTGAATTTATTGGTCATTAAAATTACCACATACATTTTTTCAATTACATATTTTTTTGTATAAAACTCTGGGTACATAAACTTAGCATCAATCTGATGTTATCGTTATCTGTGTACATAAGCTAAAGTAGCCACTTTAGCTTATGTACACCAGCAGCCAACTTTATACAAGGCAGGCCACAGAAGCGTTGTCACCTCTGAGGATAGATGGAATGTCTCAAAACCTGTAATTACACTGGTTCTATATACTATTTAACTAAGTTCGTATGCAAAATATTGCAAAGGGCTAGGTTTTTGCAGTGTACGGTAAAAACCTAGCCCCTAGTCTAACCCTCGCATACAACTTCCCCTTACTTAGTTTGCCCCTTTTCAACCCTATTCCCAACTTGTAATGTAGTTTGTACGTAAATATATGCTGCGCACTGTGATTGTATGTACGAAACGTTATATCTATGAATACACCTGTTATCTAGCGTCGAATTACAAAGATCTAGTTAAGTGAGGTTAACAGTTTGCCTAGTTCCTGCGCCGATTAGTAACGTACTCGTACTACCGTTTTGCTTACTATTATCCTTTGGTTTCCTAAACATTGTTTCCTTTACTTTCATATGTTCTAAACTCCGGATATACTCCGTAGCAGGCAATGCTATTTGACGTCAGAAATAGTAAGTGCTACCTACCCAGGCGGTTTTCTAGGTAGAAAAGAGACCTACCAGGTAGAGCATGGGTGCTTTATAAATTCTAATCTGCTAATTTCGACGGAACAGTTTTTATACTTTCAAAATTAAAGTTAGTAATAATCTTCCATCATAGGAGTCATTATAGCTCAGGGGATACGCCTCGCCTTAAGTTTCAGTATATGGTAGCAAACAGAATTCCATATCAATCAGTACCAATGAAATTGTCAATAATGTCTGAGCGGTGGAAATATATCTTTTAAAAATACTTGAATATCTGAAAAAGTCAAAAAATTTTGAGAAATTCAGGATTGTATTAGGTTCAGTGTATTCCTCTGTGCCTGGGGTCAGTCCAGCTAGAGGACACGTAAAAATTCTACTTTAATATTTTCAAAATAAACCAAATATTTCGAGAATTTTATAGATCGTTTAACTGGGGTTTTATTTAAAAAAAATGTAATTTAAATTTATTAATTTAGAATAGTTAAGTACTAACTGCAATGGTTAACCATACCACTTAACAAATTAAATAAATTTCAGATCCTCCCAAAATCGCTGGGTTTTCATTCCCAGCCGACTTAGTGGAAGGAAGTTCAATACAAGTGCTTTGTGGTATTACGTCCGGTGACAAGCCCGTTTACTTCTCGTGGCTCAAAGACGGACAGCACATTCCTTCTAATTTACAGGTAAATGAAATAAATACACACTTTCTAGTTGTAAATAAAATTGTCGTAATTTCGTATATTATTTAAAAAAATACAGCATGTTATATAAAACTAGTGTTGCGAAATTATCGCGTTTAATTAATTATTTTTTTAAATTTCAAAATTATCCCGGTTTGACTATATCATTTGGACGGCAAATACCTAAGTCCCCTGTGAACATGGGTGCTGCAAAGCACCCGAAACGTAGCGAATTAAAATAAGTAAAATTAAATGCAAAAAACGAATAAAACAAGTATTACTTAAATAAAATTATCATATTTATTAGCCATAAACTGGTTTAAGGTACAAGAGAAATCACTGGACGAATTCAGTTTCCTAATCTTCTCGCACGTCACATCTAAACATAGCGGAGAGTACACATGTGTTGCCAGCAATAATGCTGCAGAAGTAAACCACACAGCTCGTCTCGCAGTTAAAGGTATTATAATGTTTTGTTATTTATTTAATTTTGTACTCAATGTAAAATTTTAATGCCACTTATTTGGCTATATTCTACCATTTAAGCGTAAAGCATATATATTTTTTATAGAATTAGGATGACAAACGTGCACATAATCCACCTAATGGTAAGTGGATGCTGTGCCCACAACCATCTACATTTATCCTTGATTAAGAATCAAAATGCATACGTGTTATCACTCCTGAGGACTAAGATAAAACACTTCGTTTCCAATAAAAATAGTTTCCGTTTATCTACACTTATCTTACGAAACACAGCAGCAATCAGCTGCTATTTTACGCTGGTTTACAACACACGAAATTCTGTGAGAGCGTAGTCCTACCCCGGTTGAGCCGACCCATTCGTGGTACAACCATAGTACTATATAACGGATTAATAATATCCATATTACAAATTTTGGTCGCAGCGGATAGTCTAAGTAATGACTAGCTATCTGCAGAAGGCAGGATTGTGATGCACGGGTGTGAGCGTAAATACAGTTGCACTCTCTATTCCATCACTCTCTTAGTCCGAAGGGATAGCAATACGACACGCCCGTAAAAAGAGCACGCACAGGACCAACAGCTTTATGGTACTTTCTGAGGCACGGAAATAAAACACTGCGAACTTCCTGAATGTTGCTGCCGATAACTTCTTGACAGGAAAACCCAATAAGTGCTTTTGCCCGACCCGGAATTCAAATTCGGACCTCATGATCAGCAGTGACATATTCAATCACTAGACAAACCAGGAAGTATATAACATCTGGTTTATTGGTTATAAAAACCTCACCGAGGTCATCAGATCATAACCATTGCACAAGGGACGAAATACGTAGAAGATAGTGAATTGCTTATTGCCGCCGCTATACGGGCATGATTACGAGTACAACTCTTTTTTTAATTTCAGTTGCTCCATCTTGGATGTACGAACCTCAAGACGTGTCTGCGTTATTAGGCACCCAGATTATTGCGCAGTGTTCAACTAAAGGCTATCCAGAGCCACAGATTGCTTGGTTGAAAGGACAAGGTAAAATACCAAATATCTATATTTAATAGTCGTAGTATAGAATGGCTGCGTTTGGCAGAAAAAAGCGCTAGGAAGCGCTTGTAAGCAAAATGGTGAAACTATACAGTTTTCGGCCAGGACACGTTTGCCTACTTCAGTAGCACTGACACCATGAAGGCTAGAGAACAGGAGAACGATCGCCATAAAAAATAGTGTCCCAGAAATATAGACACCATAAGTGAGGCGCTGCGATCGCAAATTTCGCTCAATAAAAGTCATTTTCAGTTTATTTTGTCGATCAGATGCTAAACCACTTGCACATCCACTCACAATAAAATATTTCTCCATTTTTAATTTTTCTTTTTGTCAAAAATTATAAAATTACGGAGCATAAAAATTTTCTCACCAATGCCGCGGAGAAAATGTGTACATTATTCAACTAACTTCATCTACTTGTACTCATGAACAGCTAACTTCGCAGTCACTACTCACCGACGGCAGTACCGCTATAAATTCTACAATTTTCAAGGACAGGCGGGCTATGCTTTAGTACGTAGTGATCGTTCTCCTGTTCTCTAACCTTCATGGCTGACGCAATCCGCCATTTTGCTTATTTATTTTCTTTGTTTTGAAGTAGAGTTTATAAGTTGTATTGTGCAATTAGTTTCAAGTAATATAATGACATGAATAAACATATTATACATGTTATTAAAAATTCATGATTAATATGAATAATTTACAAACATATATTTAAATTAGGTTAGGCTCCCCGGTTAAAGCTAACTTAGTGTCCTAAAGGAAAATATCTATTTACCATTTGACAGCGCTTACCGCTTACCATCGCCATTTTGCTTACAAGCGCTTCCTAGCGCTTTTTTCTGCCAAACGCAGCCATTCACTATACGAGACTCAAAATGTTTAGAGACTCCCTTATTCTCTCGTTGTAAAAATAGTATTAAAACTACATCGTCCAATGAATACGCGCATTGTTATTAAAGTCCCTAACGACCTTACGTCGTTGCCAAGACATAGTGTGCAGAATTAAAGCCTCGGCTTACGGAGCTTACATGTGGAAATTATAATTTATTTAGTGCTTTGAAGTCAGCTTTTATTTCTTATAAAAGATCTAATTTTTTAACCTTTTAATGGAGTATTGGATAATGTCACAAGCTTGCATGTCGCTTAAATAGCTAGGTAAAAATTTCATCGCCTATTTTCGACCCATAGTAGTGTACATTTTTTTTTTAAATAATGTTACTCCAACTTTCGGATATTTTACTGTATCGCCGAAATAGTTTACATACATAAAATTCACAAGGACAAACATCCAGACCCGTAATAATTATTTGTAGTCCATACAAAAATTTGTTATTCGGTTTGTTATTGCGGTATTCGGACCCGCGGGCCTCAGCACCGCAACTACTTGCTAAGTCACTGACATGGAGCCGTCATTATAACGAATTTAATTTTAAAAAAAAACTTTTTTTATTTTATTTTAAGAGTAAGGGTGACAAAAGAGCACACAGTTCATCAGTAAGTGGGTGAAGTGGCCCATAAACATCTACATTTTCCCTCGGTTAAGAATGAAAATGCAGAAGCGTTGTCACCTGTGAGGACTAAGATGGAATGCCTCGTTTCCAGTAAAAATGGTTTCCGTTTCTTTACACTCACTATACGAAACACAGCAGCATTAAGCTACTATTTTTCGCTGGCATTCTTAGAGGGCATGACCCTTCTCCGGTTGAGCCGAACTGTTCTTAAATAAAACCGTAATATAACTTTACACGAAAAAATTTATGAAGTTTTCTTTCATCAATTAGTATTCTTTATAGTCTACAATGAGTAAAAAAGTTTCTGTTTTTGTTTCATCGATATCATAATAGAAATACAATATTCAGGAGCCGGAGGGACAGACTTTCGTCCGTTATCACGGCTGGAACTGCCCATGACGGTGCTGAGCAACGGGTCGTTGACCGCAGCAGCCGCGGCGCGAGTGCACGAGGGTCGCTACATGTGTAGAGCTGATAATGGCGTAGGGAGAGGGCTTTCTAAAGTCATCACTATTTCGGTCAATGGTAAGATTTTTATTTTAAATCTAAGTCAGCTGAGCGGTCAGCCGCCGTAGAGTCTACATCACCTGAGGATGTCTCGTGTAGAGGCGAATCACGTGTCGTATTGTTGTCGATGGTGTGTCTTACCTGGAATAGTGGTGTTGGAAGTAGTGGTGCCGGGAGTAGTGGTGCTGGGACTAGTGGTGACGGAGTTAGTGCATGCAATTGAGGGAGGGCGGGAGGTGCTCTTCAATCCAGGTAAGACAAATCATTGTAATTAGTTAGTGGAAGGTTGCAAATTAATAAATTATTTATTATAAGGGATTTCCGCAAAGTAACGCCTGATTCTATCAATTAGATTTTTATTTTCTTATGTTATAATAATACACATAATGATTTCTCATATTTATGCGAATACTAAACATTAAATGAACCTAATTCAGAAATTTTATTGTTTATATATTTTTTTAATTCGATCATATTCTAATGAAAAGGTAAACCGGCACGATAGGATAGAGATCAGATGCAGAACCAACGGCTTCATATACTTTTCAAGGAAAGGAGGTAAAATATTTCCTGACCCCGGGCTGCTACTAAGATACTTCTTGTCAGAAAAACCCAATTACTGATTTTGAACCGACCCGGGATTCGAATCCGGGACATCTACATCATCAGTCCGTTTATGATCACCCAGACCAGCGACGTTTAGTAGTTAGCACTGCAACTGTCAAACAGTCTGCCAAGCCTTACGATTAATTCAAATTTTACCTACAAACTACTACAGCTTTTTTATTTTCATACTGCAGCTTAATATCTAATGGGAAACCAAATGTTTTTCCCGTTTCTATTTTTGGTATGTTATGCTCACAGTTATTATTATATTATTATAGTTCACCAGATTTGCTGACTATATATACTCCATATATGGCCATTATTATGTTTCTTTACTTAAATTTAAATAATTAAAAATATAAAAAAATTAAATAATAACACTAAATACCCATTTATCATACCCATATCCAGCAGTGGACATTTACGCGCTGTTAAAGAAGAATTCTAAAGATATTGTCACGTTTTAATAAAAAAATTAAAATAAATTAAAATATAATAAAATTATTATTTTTCCTCATTTAGAGCCAGCCCACTTCGAATTTTCCTCACGCAACATGTCGGTGAGGCGCACTGCAGCGGTTGCCCTGTCGTGCGAGGCGCGCGGCGACCCACCCATACAACTGCACTGGACCCACAATATGCAGCGCCTAGATCTCTCCACTTATAGGTTCGTAGTTTCTTTGTCTTAATAGAACGAAATTTGTTAAAAAAATACAATTATTTTGTATCTAATGTCAAGAGCCTTGGTAGCTCAGATGGTTAACGCTCGCTGTAAATATAACAGAACGCGAGTAACCCGGGTTCGATCCCCGCTGGCACCAATGAAATTAATAATTGCAATTTTAAGTGCTGATTTGCCACTGCTCGGCGGTGAAGGAAAATATCGTGAGGAAATCTGCATTTCTGAGGAATAAAAAAAATTTCGCAGACATGTGAAGTTCGCCAACACGCATTGGGGCAGCGCGGCGGACACTTCCTTGCCCTAAAACCCTCTCAAAAAAATAAATGGGGGAGGCCTGTGCCGCGTGGACGTGACTTTACTTTACTTTAATGTCAAGAAGTATAAACTTTTTCTAACCCAAATGTCATATGAAGTTTAAGCAAATCCTTGTAGTGGTAGTTCCGAAAGATGTCCTGCGATGACGGGTTTCCAAATGACAAATTCAAAATGAATAAGGACAAATTATCCAAGAAATTCTTAACGATTTCTTAAATTTACCCGAACACTACACATTGAATAAACCTACAGATTTTAAAGCGTTTAGTCAACATATTTTTAATTCCTGACGTTTCGGGTGCTTTACGCTTTTTTTTGTTTTTTTAATATTACATCGGATCAAAACGTAAAAATCAAAAACTGAAGCTGACGCGTTCAACAGTGAACGAATTTGGGACTTAAGAAGAAATAAACTTAACAATTGAGTATTTCGTAGGACATAGTTAGCAATCTCTTGAAACTACGGTCGAGCCCTTTCTGTGTATAACTAAATAATTACACGAATCACAACTATACTAGATAGTTAATTTAAAAATGTAATATGTAAACATTACCATTACAGCCTATCATAAGGCCTCTGCTGAACAACGGCCTCTTCCATAGATTGCCTCGCAGGGGGGATATTGCTATAGCTACACGGTTGGTAGGCGGGTTGACATCCGATTTTATTTTTTATTTTTAGGCCTTTTTTTATCAGGAAGATGTGACTGCCAATCTCACGGTTTGTGTTTTTTTTAATTTAAGATAATAAATTTATATACAGACATATAATTTTAAAAGATAATAAACAAGCAGATAGTCCTCCTAATAACAAGTAGTTGCCATGCGCCATAGGCATCTTAAATTATCAGTAAACAATCAAATGAAAATTCTTTGCCACCCGTGAGGACTAAGATGGAATGCCTCGTTTTCAGAAAAAATAGTCTCCGATTCTCTACACTTACCATAGAAAACATAACAGCGTTAAGCTGCAATTTAGGTATTAGAAGTCAGAAATCTAAATAATAAGTCAATATTTCTGTGAGCGTGGTCCTTCTCCGATAAAGCCGACCAATTCTTGCTACAAACTATACAACTGATTTGCTGTAACATGGCTCTACCAGATAAAAAATTACGCGTGATCGATTCTTAGGACAATCACAGGATGTTGTGGGGTAGTGGATATTCTCACACTACTACTACACATTAATCACAATAAAATCAATAAAATATCACTGTTTAATGTTGAAAAACAAACGCATTTTTGATTTTTTTGGCTTTAATTAATAATTCCTGATATTTAAATTTAGTTTTCGTAGAAAATATACTGTATTGTTAAGGATAAAAAATGTATTAGTATTTTTATTTGAACAGAATATCAGTATCTGAGAAGCGATCGGATAGTGGCGCGAGCTCCACGCTGAGTATTGCTCATGCTCAGAGGCGGGACTCTGGCGTGTACAGATGCCGCGCGGAAAACGCTTACGGTCGAGATGAACTGCTAATTTATCTCGCAGTTCAAGGTAAGTTTTTTTTTCAGAAAGTAAATTTTAATAAGATTTTTAAAAATTCATTGAGGTTTCTAGCAGTCCAAAACTATTTTCCAATAATTTTTTTATAGGAGAAGAATGACAAACGAGCATGTAGTCCACCTGGTGGTAAATGTAGTGATGTAAATGGCAAAGGAATTCAAATGATAGATTGAAAAACCATAAAATTAAATACATATAATTTGTGTGTAATTTTTAAATAATCAGGGTAAAAGTAAAGTATACAGGTCATTTACTTCTAAATCGGTCGGTTTTTATAGTAAACCTATGCTTTAAATTACGTATACAATACAGATAATATAATAATATTATACAAAACTGATAATACAATAATATTATCTGTATTGTACAGAGTTTCCGGAGGCACCGCGAGGGCTGAGCGTGACTCGGCGCGAGTCTCGCGGAGCGCGGTTGTCATGGCGACGGGGGTACGACGGCAACGCGCGCCTGCGTGCGTACCGCCTGCAGTACCGCGTAGTCGGCGCCGAGCCTCGCACCGCACAGCGTGCCGACTGGACCGACGCGCCCACGCGTGAATTGCCGCCCGATCTCTTGATACAAAGGTAAAATTTCTATACTTTCTTTTTTTAATCGTTACCTCTACACTAGGATTTTAACTTGTATCAAGTACAAGGGCAGTACATCCATAAATTACTCAAGGACAAATATTCAGACCCGAAACAATAACTTATGAGTCATACAAATAGTTGTGTCGTATGGGATTCGAACCCGCGGCCCCCAGTGCTTCAACTCATTGCTAAGACACTGCGCCATGGAGCCGACATGTCGTATAGCAAAATACTAACGCGCGCCAGAAGGCACTCACTATACAATATATATATTCTATTTATTGCTTTTGTAGTGTTTATTTATATTTAGTTTTAATTCGTATAATTTATATTTAAAACATAAAAGTATTGTAAGCTTATGACGTGGTAGAGCCACGCCGCAGCTATATTTTAGTACGAATGGGTCGGTCAGACCGGGGAAGGACCACGCTTTAAAAAATACACAATAAAATAGCAGCTTAATGCTGCTGTATTTCGTTTAGTGAGTGTAGAGGACATCAGACCCTCTATTATCACCATCTTAATGATTGACTCTGCAATTTGATTCTTAATCGAGGATAGATGTAGATATCTGTAGGCCGCAGCATCCGTTTACCATCAGGAGGACTGTTTACAGTTTATTAGTAATATGACGTATGTAGATCAGGAGGTAAAAGTTAGCTGTTCATCACAGTACGCGAACAACCCGGGTTCGATCTCTACCGGCAATAATGAAATTATGAATTGCAATTTTAAGTTTTATTCATTGAAGAGCCATGCTATGATATTATTGGCCGGAATAAGACCACGTGTTCACAGAATACTGGTGAAAATAACAGTTTCGTGCTCATTTGCTGCGTATCGACATAACCCTCAGCTGAGAACTGGAGACACCTTTTTTTAGAATAAGGATGGTAAACAAGCGCACAGTCCTCCTGATGGTAAATGGATGCTGTGACCCATAGGCATCAACATTTATCCTCGATTAAGAATCAAAACGCAGATACGTTGTCACCCCTGAGGACTAAGATGGAATGTCTCGTGTTTAGTAAAAAAAGGCTCCGGATCTCTACACTCCCCAAACGAATCACAACAGTACAGTTCAGTCATAATAGACTCTAACTAGATAACATAGAAATCCGCTCCGCTGGCTCCGGACGGTATCTAATTAGATACCAAATACTGCCCCATGAAAAAATATTTTTTTATTTTAAACAAAATCAAAGACAATATGCAATGAATAATAACGTCAAAGACAAAGATATGCTCTTTTATTTTAAACCATAACCTGGCAATGTTTCTTAGAAAAAAAAAAGAAATCACTCTGAACTTTCAGCGTTCCACGTGTCGCATTGCAGAAGGTGCTCCGTCTTTTTTATAGAATTTTATATTTGTGTCTGCACTAAAAACGAAAGTATTATACTCTTTTGTATTCCTTGTAATATAGTAAACACGTAGATATATAATTTGTGGCATAAAAAGTGAAAAGTAAGTGCCAAAACTACTTCGAAATCGAGAAGGCCCATTTTAGCGGTTGGGTCAAAAATGTGTTATTTTTCCAATTCTCATTTATATTTTTAGTGTAAAATTTAGCTAAAAAATAGTTTTTAATATATTTCAAATAACTTGACGTTGTATTTATTTAAAATTCACACAAAAATATATTTGAAATATTGTTCTAAATGTCATACAGATAAAAATTATTTCTTTTAATTTTTTTTTATATTTTGGTATGAGTAACGAATAGAAACACATAAAACATAAAAATATACATATTTCCAAACATTTTCATATAAATTTCTTCAAAAACAAAAGTTTAGAATTCAAATTAGTAGTAATTTTGTCACTAAAAGTGAAGTATATACTACTACTATGCTATAAAGGGTAATTTATGAATTTTATTACAGTTTCTAGGAACTAAAAATAATTTTAATCGATAGTTTATACACTCAACATGAATTCCTTTAAGTTTTATCCATAAATATTGTCTCAAAGTGAAAATATAGCAAAATTTGCAAGTTAGCAAAAAATTTGCAATTCCCGCCATTTTAAGGTCGCGAGCAAACAGGAGTATCAAATAACGTAACCTTCCGATCTTACGGGTATTTAACGCTGCTATTTTACGCTGGTATTCTGTGAGAACGTGGTCCTTCCCTAGTCGCTGCAGCTATGATTGTAGTAGATCCATTCCTGCTACAATCATAATATAGCTGCAGCGTGGTTCTACCACGTATACAAACTGGAAACGAGGTTTTTCCATCTTAGTATTCAGGGGAGACAACGCATCTGCATTTTGATTTTTAATTGCGATAGATGTAGATGTCTATGAGCATTCACTTATCACCAGGTAGACTATGTGCTCGTCCATCATCCTTACTATTTATAGTATTATACTACTACTCTCCTTCTCTTGCAATCTTCATCAAGTCTTATATTGCAATAACTATAGTATCATATTTTATTCATTTTATATCTTGTAAACATACATGTACCGTGTAGTGGCGGTTAAGAATATCCACTACCCCATATCTTCCCGTGGGTGTCGTAAGAGGCGACAGCGGGAGACAGGCAGGAGATGGGCAGCAGCGTCTTCCTGATGACAACTGTGACGTAATAAAAAACTGCGGTTGCCAACCCGCTCGCCAAGCGTGGCAACTATGGCAAATACCCCCCAATGAACAAATACACAAACAGACGGCCCCCAGTCCCCGGCGGCCCCGCTATTCCTGGCTACGGTGGCGACCATGGTAACGGCGGGGCAGGGGGGTGCTAAGAATCTCCGGTGGAGGTTCGGTTGCCACCTACGACGACTCGACCTGGCAACATATAACGCACGCACCCTGAGGACTGACGAGAAGATACTGGAGCTGGAAGAAGAGGTAGACAAGTTGCGCTGGCATATTATTGGATTATCCGAGGTCCGAAGAGAGGGGGAGGACACGGCAATCCTCGAGTCCGGCAACTTGTTCTATCACCGGGAGGGCGACCATCTGTCCCAAGCAGGTGTCGGATTTATCGTCCACAAATCTCTCGTCAACAACGTTGTAAAGATTGGGAGTGTGTCGACGAGGGTCGCGTACCTGATACTCAGAATCACCAAACGGTATTCGCTGAAGGTCATTCAGGTTTACGCACCAACCTCGGCACATCCCGATGAGGAGGTGGAGGAAATGTATGAGGATATTTCCAGAGCCATACATTCCTCCAAAACCTACTACACGGTGTTGATGGGAGACTTCAACGCAAAACTGGGCACAAGAGAAAGCGGTGAGCTGAAGGTAGGGAAATTTGGAGTAGGGCAACGGAACCGAAGGGGCCAGCAGCTGGCCGACTTTATGGAGAAAGAGGGACTCTTTATGATGAACTCTTTCTTCCAGAAGCGGCCCCACAGGAAGTGGACCTGGTCGAGCCCCGACGGTTCGACAAAAAATGAGATTGACTTCATTATGACGACCAGACGCCAACTGTTCAGTGATGTCTCAGTGATCGCAAGGGTGAAAACTGGCAGCGATCACCGAATGGTTAGAGGCACACTGAACCTAAACGTTAAGTTGGAGAGGTCTCGTCTAATGAAGTCAATGCTCCGTCCCCCTCGTGCTCTAATCCAGAATCCCGAAACCTTTCAGCTCGAGTTACGTAACCGCTTCCAGTGCCTAGAAGATTGCAATGCAGTGGACGATATGAACGACAAGCTCGTGGAAACTGTCCATGCGGTCGGACCTAAGTTCTGTAAGACCCGCCGCAGAAGAACACAAAAACTCTCCGATCACACTCTTAATCTCATGGCTGTTAGACGGGAGATGAGGCTGCAATCGTCAACAGATTTGACAGCATACAGGCAACTGAACAGACAGATCTCCAAATGCATACGGCGAAACTTACGCAACTTTAATACTTCTCGTATTAAAGAAGCGATCGAGCGGAACCAGGGCTCCAAAGTCTTTGCCAGAGATCTGTCTGCCAGAAAGAGCCAACTGTCAAGGCTGAAGACTGAGTGTGGCAACATCGTTTCCGGGACACCTGAGATTTTGAGTGAGATTGAGAGGTTCTATGGGCAGCTGTACACATCATCGTTGGAGCCACACGCAAGTGTGAGTAACGATCCAAGAGCAAGTCTTATCCGACACTATTCCGATGATATCCCGGACGTCAGTCTAAGCGAGATTAGAATGGCTCTCCAGCACCTTAAAAACGGCAGGGCCCCAGGCGAGGATGGAATTACAGCGGAGCTTCTGAAAGCGGGTGGAACACCGGTACTTGAAGTCCTTCAGAAGCTCTTCAATTCCGTCCTCCATGGTGGCACTACTCCAGAGGCGTGGAGCAGAAGTGCGGTGGTCTTGTTCTTTAAGAAAGGCGACAACGCTCTCTTAAAGAACTACAGACCGATTTCCCTTCTGAGCCGCGTCTACGTGCTGTTTTCGAGAGTCATTACGAATCGTCTCGCACGCAGACTTGACGACTTCCAGCCTCCCGAACAAGCCGGTTTCCGAAAAAGGCTTCAGTACCATAGACCACATACATACCCTGCGGCAGATTGTACAGAAGACTGAAGAGTACAATCTGCCACTTTGCCTGGCGTATGTGGACTATGAGAAAGCCTTTGATTCCGTCGAAATTTGGGCGGTGCTACAGTCCCTTCAGCGGTGCCAAGTTGACTGTCGGTATATCGAAGTGCTGAAGTGTTTGTACAGTAGGGCTACGATGGCTATCCGAGTACAGAACCAGAGCTCGAAACCTATCCAACTGCAGAGAGGTGTAAGACAGGGTGACGTTATATCCCCGAAACTCTTCACCGCTGCATTGGAAGACGTTTTCAAGCTACTGGACTGGAAAGGATACGGTATTGACATCAATGGCGAGTACATCACTCACCTTCGATTTGCCGACGATATAGTCCTTATGGCAGAATCGCTGGAGGACTTAAGCACTATGCTCAATGACCTCAATAGTGCCTCCCAACGGATAGGTCTTAAGATGAACATGGACAAAACAAAGATCATGTTCAATGTCCATGTCACACCTATGCCGGTAGTTGTTGGGAGCACTATGCTCGAAGTTGTTGACGAATACGTTTACCTGGGACAAATAGTCCGACTAGGTAAGTCCAACTTCGACCGAGAGGTCAATCGACGGATTCAACTCGGCTGGGTAGCGTTCGGGAAATTACGGCATATCTTTTCGTCAGGTATACCTCAATCTCTAAAAACTAGATTGTACAACCAGTGCGTGTTGCCAGTGATGACTTACGGATCTGAGACGTGGTCCTTCACTGCTGGCCGTATGAGGACGCTTAAGGTCGCTCAGCGAGCTATGGAGAGGGCTATGCTCGGAGTTTCTCTGCGTGATAGACTCAGAAATGAGGATATCCGCAGTAAAACCAGAGTGACCGACATAGCCCAACGGATTAGTAAGCTGAAGTGGCAATGGGCCGGCCATATAGCTCGAAGAACCGATAACCGATGGGGAAGAAAGGTTCTCGAGTGGCAGCCTCGTACCGGTAGGCGTAGTGTAGGGCGACCCCCCACTAGATGGAGTGACGACCTGGTAAGACATGCAGGAAGTCGATGGATGCAGGTGGCTCAGGACCGTGCTTTGTGGCATTACTTGGGGGAGGCCTATGTTCAGCAGTGGACTTGTGAAGGGCTGTAATGATGAAAATGATGAACCATACACTAAATTAGTATTCGAGAGTAAAGAAAGTGCTTTTATTAGTATTATTATTATTCTCTTTTACAGTTATATAATATTAGAGAGTTATTGCAAGCAGAACATGTCGCTTTTAAGTAGCGGTATTTTTAAATGTTTTTATATGCAGCTTTTTTTATACTCATGACGAATATTCATCAACAGGAAAGAATCTCTGGATCCGGATTCCGAAGTTATCCTTGAGTATCAAGTGGACGGCCTTCGGCCGGCTACAGCATATGCGTTAAGGCTGGCCGCAGTTAACGACATTGGAGACAGTGAATACTCGGAATCTGTTATAGTACAGACATTAGAGGAAGGTAAGTTAATCAATAGTATATTTATAAATTAAGATATATAATAACAAACTGACGTCTGTTGTTGTTAAAATATGAGTATCTGTCAGTTGAATAACAAGTCTAATAAAATTATTGAATTAAGTACGTCTCTAAATGTTCATTAAAAATTCTATTACGGATTTTATTGCGTTTAGTTTACTTGGTTTTTAATTCCCAACGATAATTTCAATAAAGAAGGAGGCTGGGTACACGCTTGGGACCTTGTAATTAGTAAAATTAAAACTAAACCCTAGTATGCCATTGCAGAACTTCAAAACACAGAAAGTTCATTCTGCGTAAATCAAAACATAAATAATAATTAAAACATTAGAGGTGATCCGGGTTGGAACTGGCATCGGGACGTTACCTTTGTCCCCCGTGAACATGGGTGCTGAAAAGCACCTGAAACGTTGGGGATTAAAAACGAAGCAAATTAAACGTAATAAAATCCGTAAAAGTAGTTTTAATAAATATGTAGTGTTCACGTTAATATAAGAAATCATTATATTACTTGATGTTTCTAGCTGTAAGTTTTCCAATATATTTTAAAAAAGCTGACTTCGGGCTGCTACTGAGTTTATCGACAGAAAAACTCAATAACTTTTTTGACAGACCGGGGATTTGATCGGGACCAAATAGTTAACACTCGCATTATCATAAGTACCAACCACTTACCAATGAGGCAGTCAAATGGAATACTTCAATTGGCAGTACGACTGTGACCAACAGGTTGTCGTTCATCATTTGCCTTTGACTATTATAAGTCAGTGCTTGATTATATAATCGGACTTCGAGCTAAAGCTTGATATAACATTCTGTAGTATAAACACAAATGTTATTTTTAGTCCAAAACCCTTTTAGATAGTGAGGATCAAAATATGTTTTTAATGTAAGCAATGAAAATATATTTTATGAAGAGAAATTAATGAAACATGTGTTGTTACTAAAATAATCTACAACACATCTATAAAATTTTGTAAATTTATTATTTTTTAATAGAATCAAGCGTTACTTTCCGGAAATCCATTATATTAAAGATGTTATACATCAACTGAGAATGTCCCATTTAGAGGTGAAACACGTGTCCTATTATCGACGGTGGTGTGGTCTTTCCTAGTGTAGTGGTGTTGGGAGTAGTGGTGTGGATGTGGTCTGATAATAGTGGTGACAGGGATAGTAGACGCAATTGAAGAAGGAGAGCAGATGCTCCAAAAACCAATTAGACACATTATTTTATTTTATTACGTGAATCTTAGCCAATTCATAATTCGTATCTTTAATTCATTGCTGCTGCTAGGACGAACATGTTTCAGAATACACCATTGCCTCGTGATATATGCTATGTCAACAACATCTTTTTTATTTTATAGAATAAGGATAACAAACGAGCACACAGTCAATCTGATGGTAAGTAGATGCTGTGGTCCATAGACATCAACCTTTATCTTCGATTAAAACTCAAAACTTAGACGTGTATGGAGCCTGGGCCAGGTCCTTGGGCACTATACTTAAAAATAGGGAAACACATTTTTAACGGTTTCAACGGTCTAATTATTTTATAATGGCTTTGTATGGATGTATTTGTTTTGCCTGGTACGTGAAATTACACTTGGAAATGCAACAAAAACAAAAACCCGTCAATGCGGTAAACCGTCATTTTTATTGATTAGTGACGTTTCACATGATTATTTTACGTATTTTTGTGACTTTTGTGACAACTGACAGTTTTCTTTCTATGATCACTGGTCGCTTTATGGTTTAAAAAAAAAAGAATATACCAATGCTATAAACATTACTAATATTCCCTTTAACCACTCGTGGTAAGCTTAAATTGCTTGTGTTACTAGTCGTTCACGCCAGTAGTCGAATGGCGGATTCGAACCCACGACCTTTTGAGTTCGCGGTCCGCGCCCTGCCATTAGGCTACTGTCGCTTAAAATTTATTGTTATTGTCTATAAGCACGGAGTAACTATTTTGGTGAGACGCCTTGTTGAAAGTCGATAAAAATAATTGATAAACATCAATTTACCACGACAGGATACGTTTAAATGAATTATTTATATTTTAACAGAATTCTACAGATTTTTCTCTCTTTTGAGTACGCTTTTTTACGTACACTACGTACATAGACCTAGCCCATTTTGAAACATCTGCTTTTAAGATTTTTTTTATTTTTAGATGGTTTTAAGATATTTACAGAGAAACAAAGTATTGTATAACATAATAATCATTAAAATATAATCAACAGCCCGGTAAATCACTTACTGTGTAGAAAAGGGATTAACCATCTCCACCTACCCCATATCGTCCCATGCCATAACAAGTGATAGAGGGAAAAAACCAGATGGATAGCAGTTGCTTCCCGACGACAGGTAGAAAACAACAAATTCGATTGCCAACCAGCCTGCCTGGCGTGATAACTATGGAAAATATTCTCCCTATGAGGCGGTTTGTGAGGGATAAGTTAAGATAAGTTAAGCTAAGTTGAGCAGTAGATTTTTGATAGGTTGTAACTATAACGGTAGGATATAATAACTGATAAATCTCTCTTGTATTGCAACAAGACGTTGCTTATAATAAGAATTGCATTTATTTTCAGAACCGTCAGAGCCACCTCGTAACATTGAAATACAAGCGGACGCGCCAGGGGAATTACTTGTTAAATGGCAAGTAAGTATTTATTATTTGAACAAATTAACAGTTATTAAAGTAATTTGTATATTTATCAGTGAAATTGCTTAAGTTTGTGAATGTTAAGTTTTTAAACATTTAAAAAATATTGTGTTCCACTTGATCTGGTCTTTGTTAATGTGTCATTCTCATTTTTAAATAATGTTTAAAAAGAAACCTATTTCAAAGGAACCAGAATGTTGAAAACTTTATGACTTGAAATATTAAAATCTTCCCACGATATAAATTAATCCCTTTAATAAAGATTAACAAAGAGAAAGAATTATAAGAATAAATCGTGTTGTTCTTGTTAGTCACAATTGCGTTCATACAAATATACGTGGCAACAGAGGATTAAAGTCGATTAAAAATGAACTCTCTTTATCCTTTTAGTATTATAGAATAATTTGGCAATATAAATAAATTTGGATCATATTTAAAGCTTTATGATTTTTCATATCAGCTAAAATTGTTAACATAAAACTGTTTCGTAGGCGCCGCCGCAGGAGTCGTGGAACGGCGAGCTACTAGGCTACGCGGTGTGGTGGCGCGGTAGCAACGCTACGCGGGCGCTCACTGTAGCGGGCTGGACGTCAGTTCGTGCGCGTTTGGGCTTGCTGCGGCCGCACGCACGCTACGAAGTACGCGTGCGCGCCTACAACTCGGTCGGCGCCAGTCCGCCCTCCGCACCCCTAGCTGCTGCTACGCTTGAGGACGGTAAATTATGCGTTTATTAGATAAAATATTCGGGCTGTAATACGTTTTAATAGTATTGTTACGAGCTTGAGGTTCGTGACAATAAAAATTGCCGATAAAAATTACCTAAATTAACACTTTAATTTACTTTACACAAGTTAAAACTAAAACACTAATAATTAAACACACTAATTCACTTAATTCCGTTCCGAAGCTTCGCTTGTGTCGCCGAGTTCAACTCTACTTCTTCGATCGCATCTTGCAGCGCCTACTTATATAAATTAGCAAAATATCCAGAATGTTCAAGTAAACACGCGCAAGGTACCGAGAGTTCGAGTTTTAAACTTCAAGAAGTTTAGTTCTTTGGTTCGAGACTAGATGGCGCTAGTGCGCCGATTTTAGGCGTAACACTGCCCCCCTCCTAAGACATGCTCGTCCCGAGCATTATCGGTCCCATAATAACGCGCCAAGCGATCCACATGGACGATCTTAGGAGTCCCTCTTGCGCCTTTCTGTAACGGCTCCGCAATGTCAAGGGCTGTCCTATCCCGTGGTGCACCAACATTGTACAATTTCGGTGCTCCTCTACTACGTGTCTGAGGTCCCCGCACGGCCGCACAACTTGTACATGTACGGCACCAATCCTCGACATCGTCACGATAATGGACCCAGTAAAACTGTTCTCGGACCTTCAGTAGAGTTCGTTTAACTCCCAGATGGACTCTTGAACGACCATTATGGCACAGCTGTAGAACATTCGGCACTTTAGCTTTAGGGACAACCATTTGCAAACGACAGCTGTCTCTTCAACCATTGTCCCATTTACGGCACAGGACTCCATCCTGAATCAGCAAGCTATCCCATTGAGCCCAATAGCTTTTCGTGGTTGAACTCATCGCTGAAACGTCCCTCCACTTAGGCTTGGTAGCACGGGCCTTCATCCATCCCAGAATCGGCTTGATGTCCGGATCTTCCTGCTGTGCATATCGTAGGCTGTCCTTCCACCCGTTGCTGAGGTGGTCTGTCCTGAGCATCCTCACGGATACCACCTCCTTACTCTCTTGCCTACTACAATGGTTGCAATCTTCAGGACAAGGTCTTCTTGACAACGCATCTGCGTTGCCGTGAGATTTCCCGCTGCAGTGTCTGATAGTAAAGTCGTATTCCTGCTGCTGCTGGGCGGTGCTGTTAGCCGCACTTCCTTTCTGAGACCGTTCACCTTCCCTTCGTAGGGTGTGCTCAGGGCAGCTGGACCGAAGATGGCCCCTTTCCCCACAGCCATAACACCTAGGGCTGTATCTTTTATTGTGGTCGCGAACCGTAACTGCTGTAACCTCCCTAGCGTGAGGTGAACGATGATCCTGTCGCCGCCAGGCAGTGTCGTTAGCTGCACTACCCTCTCGAGATCGATCAACTCTCCTTTCCACGGTTCGCTTAGGGCAGCTGATTCGAAGATGGCCTTTTTCCCCACAGCCATAGCACCTAGGGCTGTATCCTTTGTTGCGGTCGCGAAGTGTAGCTGCCGCAACCTCCCTGACGCGATGGGAACGATTATCCTGCCGCACGGCTTCCACTTCCAGTGCATGGGCCAAGGCGTTCTTAAGCGTCTCGTGGTGCCCGAGCCTCACAGCAGCTCTGACTTCTAGGTCGCGGATGCCGTCGATGAATGTCTGCACCAGGTTCCCTTCAATGAGCGCAGGTACAGACCGGTATGCTTTCCGCACCAGCTTCTCCACTTCTAGAGCCCACTGCTGCAGGTTTTCGTTGATGCGCTGCACGCGATCTTTAAGCTGCGCACGAAAGACATGTTCCAGATGAGCGTCGCCATATCTCGCTTCCAAGGCCTCAAGAAGCTGCTCATAGGTCACTTTCTTACCGAGAGCTTCCAACACAGTTAAGGCTTGGTCGCGCAGACCTAGGGTGAGTGCAGTCATGGCTTGGCTTTTATTCCAGCCGTTCGCCTCCATGACGGCCTCGAACTGGATTTTGTAGGCCGACCAGGAAGAGGTCCCGTCGAACGGCGGCACTTTGAATCCACGTAGCGAAGGTGCTGCAGCTACTACGGGAGCTGTAGTTCCATCCCCAAGTTTGAGGTCGTTTAGCGTTTTCTTCACGTCAGCCATCACGTTGTCAACCCGATTGTTCACATGGTTGATTCGGGTTTCATGTTCTTCGATTCGGGTTTCAGCTTCCGACAGGCGGTTGTCGTGTTGAGCAACCCTATCCTTCACGTCCCTTATCTCTTTCCCAAAGGTAGCGTGAAGGTCCTTCATGAGGAGCATCTGCTCTTCCGACCCACGAGCCTGTTCCGCCTGCTGATCTTCCAACCGACGGGCCTGTTCCTCCTGTCGGCGGGCCTGTTCCTCTTGTCCGCTCTGCAGCTGCTCTTTCAACTGACGGACCTGTTCCTGCAGCATCACCATCAGAGCACCTAAGTCAGGTGCTGCAGATGTAGGAGCTACCGACGGGCCTGCTGCCGGTGGCTGGCCCTCCGACGTCTGCGGCGTTGCACCAGCAAATCTTCGTTGGTCCGTCTCCTGCTGGCGTTGACTTCGGGTACGGACACCCTCCGTTTCCTCCTTAGGTAAAATCGGCATTATTTTATCCCACTTCTGACACCAATTGTTACGAGCTTGAGGTTCGTGACAATAAAAATTGCCGATAAAATTACCTAAATTAACACTTTAATTTACTTTACACAAATTAAAACTAAAACACTAATAATTAAACACACTAATTCACTTAATTCCGTTCCGAAGCTTCGCTTGTGTCGCCGAGTTCAACTCTACTTCTTCGATCGCATCTTGCAGCGCCTACTTATATAAATTAGCAAAATATCCAGAATGTTCAAGTAAACACGCGCAAGGTACCGAGAGTTCGAGTTTTAAACTTCAAGAAGTTTAGTTCTTTGGTTCGAGACTAGATGGCGCTATTGCGCCGATTTTAGCGCGTAACAGTATCTTCAAACATAATACTAGAGCTGTTCTAACTTTGCGAAATAAAATAAAAAAATTACCATAGTAATTCAAATATACAATTGATATTTTATTGAAGATATTTTCTGTACTTTTTCCGTCTTGATGTCGTGATGACAATTAAAAAATCCCGTTCCTAGGCCATAACCTTAGTTTCACCATGTTATATTTTATTTTCCAGTGAATGTCGTTTAAGATAATTCGATTTTCACCGTTTGTGCATTGATCAGCATTTACAGGTTTTAAATTGTTATATTTCTTTGCCGCGTTTTTACATAGTTGTTGTATATTATATTTTATATTTAATTTTTTTTTTGTATATTTTATTTTTTACAAACATCATAATTTACCTTTCTTGCAGTTCCAGAAGCTCCACCGCAATACGTGCGCTGTGAACCTTTATCATCGCAGTCACTGCGAGTCTGGTGGGAGCCGCCGCCTGCAGCCGAACGAGGCGGGCTGGTAATAGGCTATGAGATAACCTATCAGGTAAATTACCGTTTTAACTTTTTTCTTTGGTGATTGACTTGAACCATTTTACTTTTGCCAGTGTGAAGTATAATATTAGAAATTATCTTTTTTAACAATATGTCTATAAAAAACTTCTTCACAATATGTTGACTCATCACATTGTGAAGTTTTTTGAGCTTTTGGCAACAACCCGAGTCAGCAAACAGTCGATGACGATGGTATCTCACGGTGCTTAAGCTCATTATCTTGAGGTTCACATTAACATCGGAACACATGTCTCATCATTTCTTATAATAGCTTACATGCGCAGACTAAATTCACAAAATAATTTGTTTATTGAAATCCAATAATATACGTGCAGTAATCCATCGGCAAAATTTTAATTTTCTGCCTCTTTTACTGCTTGAAAAGTCTGCTCCTGAATTGGGCCTCTCTCAAAGTAAGATTAGGATTTACCATAATCGTCATATTTAGAGGGTGAATTACAGTATCAGTCCCGAGCATTTTGCACCTTACTGTCACTGCTATGCGGTTGTAGAACTCTACTTCTCTACATTCGTCGTGCTAAATCTCTTTATTCTTTCAAAAGCCTTGTTAAATTGTATTATTTAGAACGCTATCGGAAAAATTACTATTCCTTTTTCGAACTGTTTTCATTTAATCTATTATATATTGTATATCATTTTCACTAATCATTATTTATATGTATTTTCATAACTTTTTGTACGCCCTCCTCCATTTTACTATAGTTTACATCAGTTCTATATACACTGGCCGGGAAGAGATCTCTTTCGGAGTGAAAGACTCCCTGTTGTACATATACTTTAGGTATATCTCTACTCACTATTCCGTATTTTGGTGTACAATAACAAATTAATAAATAAATAAATCTATGTTCGATATTGAATTGAAATGTACGAGTATCATTACGCACAAGTAAAACAGTTGGATAATAACTCTCTACAAGCACTATCATAATGCGTTTCCCTTATACGCAATACGTTTTTAAACACGTAGAATACTAATAGCGGCGTATGTGATTACATTACCCTGTTTCGTCACGTACGTGTTATAAGATGAGACTAAAGGAAGTGCTAGAAAAGTCTTATGGTTTATAATTGTGGTAGAGTTATCTCGTTTTGTGCCAAAGCCAAAGATCAGCGACAAGCAGCATCGCCTGTTTGGAGCTGCTCTAAGTTAACTTACTTACTAAATTTGTGTATATGATGTCTCGGAAACACACACACATATACCCTCTAACCCTCCCCTACTTAGGGTTAGAGCACGCACCCTCTAACCCTCTATTACCGCAATCACCCTCTCTTTATGAATATTACCGTTATAAAATTTCTACGTGATTTGTAGGCAATCAGCTCTGACGGGATGCTTGAGTCGATCCCAGAGACGCGTCGCACGGGCGGCTCGGAGACGGTGATATCCGCGTTACGCGCCGGCAACTACTCGTTGCTGGTGCGCGCGCGCACCGCGCCCGGCGCCGGCCCGCCAGCTCACGCACACTGCGCTACGCTCGACGACGGTTGACTTTTGCTATTTTTATAAAGACTTCTAGATATACTTATTTAAAGACCTCTATGTTTACTACTATCATGCTACTACACCGGTAATTCGAAACAAAAACTGTATCACAGCTGTGGTTCGAATGGGCCGGTAGCCGGCTTGGTAAATATGCCCGCAGTTGTGTTTTTATTTACAACAGTAATTTATTACAATTATGTAAGACTTGCTACCTACTTAAGTGAGGAGCGGTTGCGTCAGCGGGCTGTATAAATAGCAGCCGTTTTGGCTCGCCGCTGACTTAACGGTCAATCACCGTAGAGTCTACATCGCCTGAGGATGCCTAGTGTAGTGGTGCTGGGATTAGTGGTGACGGGGATAGTGCACGCAAGTAAACGTGAGTGGAAGGTGCTCTTCAAACAAAGTAAGACACATCATTTTATTTCATTGAGCGGAAATGAGCGAAGTAATTCTTACCAACTTGAATATAATGGATTTCCGCAAAGTAACGTCTAATACAAGGACAAAAATTTCCTAGGAAGATGGCAAAATTACAAGAGACCTGTTTCAAACGACAAAAATGAAACCAAAGTTATTGGACTTTTATGAAAAATGTTTTTCGCGTGACGTGATAGTCCCTAGAAAAAGTCGGTCAATGCCAATCAGATTTACAGACAATAAATAAAATGTAGACTTTGTTTTTATTTAACAATGATATTTTAAAATACAAAATTAAACTATAAAACATAGTAGTATCAAAATGAGTCGTGCTAGTTGCTAAGCATTCACAGAGACGGAGATAGAAACAGCATTATAGTGTGCGTCAATATTACGCTTTGCTAGATCTTTCGTGTAGATTTCGATTAGCGCGTATTAGAATGTATGCTCTTATATCATATTCAGCTAGACGGGGTATAGTAGCTCGTTGTTCTGAATTTGCCTATTTCTTCGTGTACTGCAGGTGTGGCCCTGTGTATATTTAATAGTAATAGTATAAAAGTTTGCAATGAATATGATTCCTACTTTATAGTTACGAATCTACATCTGCGATTATACGTATAAATATACTTTTTCATTATAATTTACAGTACCTGGACCACCTGCCGATATAAAAGCACTTGCAAACACAGAGAGTTCAGTGATTGTAAGCTGGCTGTCACCGATACAAAAGAACGGTAAAATACGTCACTACACCGTTTACAACAGGCCACAAAGGTTTGTATTACTTTTTTAAGTTTTTATATGAATACTGATTTCCTAAAACTAATCATCATCATCATCGTCATTACAGCCCTTCACAAGTCCACTGCTCGACATCGTTCTCCCCCCAAGGAAGCATACCCGTCGATAACTTCGAATGTAGTGCTCACAACAACTACCGGCATAAGTGTGACATGTATATTACACATGATCTTTGTTTTATCCAAATTCATTTTAAGACCTATTCGTGAGGAGACACTATTGAAGTCATTGAGCACGATTCTTTGGTCTTCATGCGATTATCTTGAAAAGACCATATCGACGGCAAATCGAAGGTGAGTGATGTACTCGCCATTGATATTAATCCCGTATCGTTTCCAGTCCAATACCTTTAAAACGTCTTCCAATGCAGCGAAAAAGAGTTTCGGGGATATAACGTCACTCTGTCTCACACCGCTTTGCAGTTGGATAGGTTTCGTACTCTGATTATGTACTGGGATAGATAGCATAGCTTTACTGTACAAACACTTCAGTACTTCGATATACTGAAGTTAACTTGGCACCGCTGATGGCAATATAGCTCCGCCCAATCTTCAACGGAATCAAAGGCTTACACTTAGTCCATATACGCAAAGCGAAGTGGCAGATTGTATTCGTCGGTTTACTGTACAATTTGCTAAAGGGTATGTATGTGGTCTATGGTACTAAAGCTTTTTAGGAAATCGGCTTGCTTGGGATACTGAAAGTTGGCGAGTCTGTGTTAGAGACAATTCGTAATGATACTTGATAAAAGAATGTAGACGCTACAGAAAAATAAATCTGTCGATAATTCTTCAACAGACCAGTAATAAACTTTCGACAGATTGTAATGGTGAGCGTAATTTTCCTGTGATTTGTGAAGTCAGTGACTTGAATTGGAGACCCTATTTACTATACGGGGCTCTTTGCCCGTGTCAGATATGCTACTTCTTGGCATATAAGAAAAGATAAGATACAATGTCGGCTATAGACGCAAAATCATGAGATGTACTCATATAATCAAATTAAATTATACTATTTTATGCTATCTGTAATAATTTAATGACAACCGAACTATCAGAACAGAACTAACTAATTGCATAGTAGGTACTGTCTTCTGCAGCCTATGTACATCTGCACTTAAGTGCATACCTACTTCTAACAGCTATAGTTTAAAATTGTTTGGTTTGGATTTATAGGTAATTAGTACTACTCGTACATAAAAGTAAAAAGTTAAGAGTCTCAGATACCTTATATATAAAACTTCGGGACAGAACAGGCCAGCACTCGCACATTACCGTTCTCCATATGGAGGGTGAAGAGGAGTATCAGGTGGAGGTTCGTGGTCTGCAAGAGCATCAGCTCTATGAATTCTGGGTGACGGCGGCGACAACTGCTGGAGAAGGGGAAATGAGCGCCATTATTGTCAGGAAACCTAGTAGTAGAGGTAATTCAAAGGTTTGAATTCGTAATTAAATTTATTTAATGTTCTTCTTGTGTACATTATGTAGGTCTTAATTTCATTTTATTGTTACTGTGGACAATAAGTTTCTTAAATCATTAGAAATTTAGGCATTATTACTTTGGTATTATGATTACAAATTGGCTGTGAAATCAAAGTAAGAATCCCTTTTCTTTGTAATTGAAACCAACCTTTTTATTCCATACAGATTATAAATAGTACTAATTAAAAGTCACTTTTTTAATTTACCAATATAAATAATGAGGATCTTAAGATTTGATTTTAAAATATTTAATGAAGGTCTTTAGATTTTGAACTAAACTAAAGATCAGAATTTTTACCTCATTGACTTCTTCTATTTTAGAGCCTAAATACGTCCTATTGCCTGGCACAAGCCACCTCATATCTCTAAGAAGTATATGAAACCATATTAGTTAGCTGTGCTTAATGCTTTACTAGCTGCTTAAGTGTATGTTGGCGGGCATTAAAAAGAAATAACCAAACTAACTTATAGTCCACCTTAAGACAAGTGGCTGCGGAAACCCATGGACATATTTTTTTTACTTATTATAAGCTAGTGTCGGACCACAATCCTATCTGCAGGTAAGTAGTGATGCCAATTTCAAACAACTTATACCCCTATAAAATATATGTTGCAGAAGTGAATGGAAGAGTCGGAAAGGGACGTCCTAGGCGGAAGTTTGTGGACCAAATTGGCGATATACTAAAAATGGGCTAAATTAAGTGTACCCTTAACTGACGAGCATGTATGCGTAGGTATATGGATGTGGAAGATGCGAGAGAGGTATGTCAGGATCGTGCTAAATGAAAGTCTGTAGTCTCTGCCTACCTTTCTGGGTGACAGGCGTGAGTATTTATGTAATTATACCCCTATAAGTGAGATTCCACTCCAATGACTAATTTTTGTAGGTATGCCTGTATGCCCTGTAATTAAACTGGCTCTCTATATCCTTCACACCGAAGCACAGCAGAGCAAGCACTGCTATTTGTGGTACAAATAGGTAAGATGGCAGTACATAGTACTTAGATGGACTCCTACACAGGAGCTAGAATCCTACCTCCTAGATAAACACATCGTTCTAAAAGTATTCTATACATCATTTATTGTAATATTTTGTTTTAGTGCAACTTTTGTAATATTTTGTCACTCTTAGGAAATTTAATTATTTTTTTTTATATTTTGATATACTTAGACATTATAAATTTTCGTAAAATAATCATCATATATACAAAGGCATCTGACGTTATTATTGATAATTTACATGTCTTTTATTTATTTTCATAATAGGATAAAATATTTGGAGAACATCGCCAACACACACCGCATCAGTTCGGCGTATTACTTGCTCCATAAATCTCTCAGAAATTAGACGAGGCTTGTGCCTAGTTGTGGACAGTATATAAGCTTTAACTTTACTTGTACATATTCTGAATCGTGCATTTTACATTTCAGCGCCGTTGAAGCTGTGGTCGTTTCCGCGTCGCATCACGGCGATGGAGGGCAGGCGCGTGGTGCTGTCGTGCGGCGCGGCGGGTGCGGCGGGCGCTGCACCGCGCGTGTGGACGCGACGTCACCCGCCGCCGCCAACCTCTGACACGCGCCTTATCATAGACTCATACAGACTCATCATACCTAGTTAGTACAGGCTCTTACTTTATTTTTTAGTTTAATCTATTTACATGATAGTGATTCTTCTTCTTAACCTCGTTCTTCCTGCCCTTATCCTAAGTTATTTGGAGTCGGTATATCATGTCATTAGCCGTGATCTCTTCCCTCGCTCATTTTTTACGCACATTATCCCTAATGAAGGGTGTTTTTAAGACCTTGAGAAATGTAAATAATAATACAAGACAGAAATATCGTCGGAATGAATTTTTTATTTTTATAATCTGGTAGATAATTTCTGGTCATTTGTTTTCAAACATGATTTCCGGCATATATCCGCCGTGGCTACGAGTTACATAGTTCATTAAAGTTAGTAAGGATTCAACTCAATAAAATAAAATGATATGTCTTACCTAGTTTGAATAGCACCCGCCCTCCCTCAATTGCGTGCACTAATATCGTCACCACCAGCACCACTAATCCTAACAGCACTACAGTAGGTATGCCTTTGTATATATGAAAACACACCATCGACGATAATACGATGCGTGTTTCGCCTTTACACGAGGCATCCTCTGGTGATGTAGACTCTGCGGTGGGTGAAAGCTAAAATGGGCGCTGATGTGGGCGAAGTAATTCCTATCAACTTTTATATAATGGATTTCTGCAGAGTAACGCTTGATTCTATTAATTACATGGTCCATTCAATCAGTCCAATTTTCACTCCTTTTTCCAATTAATCTGTTAGTATGGTGTCAATAGTGGCTTGAATATTGGCTTCCAATGCACTTGAAAAGTTGCTGGTTTGTCGGCATGAACCAATAACTGGCGTTAAATAACAGGCGTTAAGTCGCACGAACGAGGGGGTCAGTTAACAGAACCACTTCTGGAAATAAATTTGTCACCAAATTGATTTTGAATTAATTGACAGTTAAGTGCGCTGTATAGCTAATTGCACCGTCTTGTTGGGACCAAATGTCATCGAAATTTAGGTGATTAATTTTTCGAAACAAAAAATCTGCCAGCATGGCTTGATAGCGCCCGCCATTTAACGATATTATTTAACGATAGATAATGCCGCCAGTGTATAAACCGCAAAAAAACAATCAATTTTAATGGATGTAATGTTGATTCGTTAATGACATAAGTGTTGTCTTCGCTCCATATACGGCAATTTTGCTTATCACTATGCCATTTAACCAGAAATGAGATTCATCACTAAACACAATTCTGAGATTAAAATGCTCATCTTCTGCCAAATTAGTCCAATCAGCAAAAATGCGACGTAAACGATGGTCATTTGGCTTTAATTCTTGCACAAGCTGTGTTTTATAGGCGCGTTAGCCAAATCAATCACGTAAAATTTTCCACATAGTCGAAGGACAAAGGCCAACAAATTGATAACGGTGACGAATCGACATTTCGGCGTCTTCTTCAACACTTTGCACTACCGCAGCAATATTCTCTTCGGTAGGCACATTTCTTTTTCTTGTTGATGACTTTGAATTGAGAAGAGTAAAATTAGTGTGAAAACGATCAATAACTGCACGAATTGCTTACTCACTAGGCCAATTATGTTGACTATGAAGTTCGCGAATAAATTTATTTATTTTTTCAAAATAAATTTGCACAACTTGCAAGCGTTGTTTAGGCGTTGAACGAATCATGATGAATTGACAATATTATTGAACAGTAATGTTAACACAGTTTGACATTCTCAACTGTAAAACCATAGAAAACAACCATAGAAACTTCTCATGCAGCTAAAAACACCCAATAAAATCCATCCATTCTTAGGCTTCGGCTTCTTTCTACTTTTATAACTATCGACTTTCATAGCAAACATTTTTCTTATGACACGGTTTACTTTTTTTCGTATTATATATACATATCACGCTTGCCTAACACTTCACTGATGGCAATCTCGCCATCAAATTACGTCAAACCAAAATCGACTGTTGATGAGGAACATTATTACTAATACTATAGCATCGGTCTCACCAATCCGGTCCAAAATTGTATAAAGCGTAGGTCCGGTTTTGTAAAAGTAGGGAAATAAATTAAAATAATATATTATACCACTTTTGTTCATTCAAATCCATGAATTTGCCTTTATATCAGTGGTATTAATATTTAACTATTACAAAAAACTACAACACCAATGGCGAATTGATGTCATTTTGACGTCGGCCGTCAACTGTCATGAGGCTATTGATCAATTTATTGACAGATATTTGAATTCTGAAATGCTATACTTCTTATCACTGATAGCCTATCAGGTATCAGTTATTTATTATGTACAATGGCTAAAATGTCTCGACACTAGTATGATTCAAAACATGATTATACAGATATCTATTATAAAGAAATCCCAGACCTAAGCAGAAACTGTTGGCCCTTCAGATGGGGTTACACAAAACCACGATAAAAAAGGTATTAAATGAAGACTTAGGGCTTTGGGCATATCGAATAAAAACAGGACATCGTTTGAATGCTCGTCTAATGGACCTGAGACTGAAGAGATACCGCGCTTTGTTGAAGCGGTACGCGGGAAAAAATATCGGAAAATTCTTTTTTTGGGATGAAAATTTTTTTTACCGTAGAAGAGAGCTACAATAAACAAAATGATAAGGTGTACGCACACAGTAGTGAAGAAGCGAGCAACCGTATTCCGCGTGTCCAATGAGGTCATTTTCCATCCTCGCTCATGGTATGGTTGGGAGTTTCTTATTGGGGCTTAACAGAGGTACATTTTTGTTAGAAAGGTGTAAAAACGAATGCAGATGTTTATCAAAATACAGTCCTGACGAACCTTGTGTAACCTGTTTCTCATACCATGTTCAATAACAGGCACTTGGTATTCCAACTAGATTCGGCGTCAGCTCATAGAGCGAAGAGCACACAAGACTGGCTGGCGGCGCGTGAAATCGACTTCATCCGGCACGAAGACTGGCCCTCCTCCAGTCCAGATTTGAATCCGTTAGATTACAAGATATAGCAACACTTGTAGGAAAAGACGTGCTCAAAGCCTCATCCCAATTTGGAGTCACTCAAGACATCCTTGATTAAGGCAGCCGCCGATATTGACATGGACCTCGTTCGTGCTGCGATAGACGACTAGCCGCGCAGATTGAAGGCCTGTATTCAAAATCACGGAGGTCATTTTTAATAAACTACAGTGTCCTAAGGATCTATGTTTTGTTAAGTTCATTTTGGTATATAAATGGTTACATAATGAATAAACTTGTTTCAATTATTTTATATTAAACATGTGATAGGATTTATGACCTGACTAGGTAATATGCAATTTGGGTACAGATGATAAACCAGGGTCACATTGGGTAGCTTTATATATCGATACGAATGACGTCGGTCAATATTTTGATTTATATGGACGAGCACCTGTACGATATCATCTAGAGTTTTTAAAAAGGAATTGTAAAAGATGGAAATGGAATGTTGATAGGATTCAGAATGAGTGGACTTCAGTTTGTGGCGAATATTGCTTAATGTATTTGCTATATAAGTTTCAGGGATGTTCAATGCATAGTTTTACGAGTATATTTACAGGGAACACATTGTACAACGATATTTTAGTGGATGAGATGTTTCGCTCCTATTTTATAGATAATAAGTAATAAGATTTTGTATTTTATAAATAAAAATTTTAACAAAATTAGGTAATGTGTTTTATTGTTGATTCAGATTAGTGTTGTAGATAGGAACAAAGGAGTATAATACAATAGCACTGATGAGCCGACGCACACGCTGGCGAATAATAGATAATGACGGTATTCAATGAACAATAGATAAGAACAATGGAGCGCTAATGACGGTGGAAGCCTTCACCGGATACCAATTAGATAAGAGTTAATTGATCTGCAAATCTCCGGAACCGTGCATCCTACCCAAAAATGGACCGCAGATGCGTGATCAGAGCATGCCAAAACTTTTTTTTTTTTTAGGATCGTGAGTTGACGAACGTCGTACTTGTACCACTTCTGACTCAGTGAGCCAGAACTGGTACAACGTAACTACTGGTATGACTATCAATTTAGCGTAAGTTTCCAATGACCCCAGTTATCCCGTGGATATTGTAAGACGCGACAATGGGGAAACTTAAAAGGGAGATGGGCAGCAGCTCTTTCTGATACCTACTTAACGATTATGGCAAAAATCCCCCCTATGAAGCAATCTATAAGGGAGACCTATGTTCATAGGTGGAGCTCAATGATGCTATTATACGCCCATTCATGCTACAACCACAATATAGCTGTAGCAGGTCTCTACCACGTATATACAAAGACGCCAATCGTGACATTTACCAGAGCTGGAGTATCGCCTCGCGGACAACTACACATGCACGGTGCGTGGTGTGGGGGGTGTGGGGGGTGAGGAGCGTGGCACGTGGGAGGTGCGTGCGCGTGGCCCCCGGCCCGGCCTCGTCTACGTCTTTCTGCTGCCGCTCCACACGCGCTGCATCTCGCTTGGGACGCGCCGCCAGCAAATGACCACGTGCACAGTTAGTACAACTACATACCTACTATTTTATATATTATTTTTGTTTTATATTTTTATTTTTTATAAAACGTAACCTCCACACTAGGATATTCTCCTGCAACGTGGGGGTAGTTTACATACCATAAATTTTACAAGGACAAACGTCCAGATCCCGAACAATTATTTGTACTTAGTACTGTAACTCATTGATAAGTCACTGCACCACGGAAACATCTAGTTTTGTAAAAGCACTAGCCTAACGGTAATGTACAATAATATAATAAAAGACTTCTATGTAAATTACTAACATAAATTTACTGTCAATTCTAACTGTTTATTTTGTAAACCGTGAACGTTGTTTCCGACAATCTAACAAATATTTTGTTTAATGTGACTAAACAAAATGTGATTTGAACTTTATTTCGAATAAGGATGTAAATTTATTTCGTATTTGCCTTAAAACAGTAACCGTCGTCAATGATAATACAGTTGCGTGCCATATTTATCGTACCAGCTACTTGCTCAGCCTGCATCCGTTTCCGCAACCTCGCGATTCACAGCTGTGAAATAGTTTTTGTTCTAAATTTCCGGTCTAGTAGTATACACAAGTCTTTAAATATAATAATAATATCCTCCATACCGAACTTCTATCAGGGCGCTCAGTCTCAACGGAGATTGTCAATTTGCACAGGATGAAATTATAATGCCCGAGTATATGTATAAGCATAGGTGCTCTCTATTCCTTCACTTTCATAGTCCAATAGGACAATAATCTGTCACGACAGTAAAGAGATCAAGCGATGGACCTATGTCTTTGTAAGATTCTCGAGGCACAGGATTGAAACGCTGCAAGCTTCCTGACTCCGGGCTGCCAGAAAAAACCCAATAACTGATTTCACTGTCACCTTTGGGAATTAAGATATAATGCCTCGTTTTCAGTAAAATAAGTCGTCGGATCTCTACTCTGGTGAGAGTAGAGATCCGACGACTTATTTTACGTTTACGGAACACAGCAGCATTAAGCTCCTATTTCATGCTGGTAAGTGAGAGCTTGGTCCCTCTCCGGTCGGTATTCGTGCTACAAACATAATATAGTTGCAACGTGGCTCTATCAGGTACATTACGCGAGTGTCGTACGTCTTTTCCGACACTCGCGGACGATATAAAGGTATTGTATTTTTATACCATAACTACACGGTCACAAAAAGCATTTGTTTTGAATGGCTGTGACAGGCTACTCTCTGGAACACGCGCGCGGTGCTCTAGAGGCGTGGCACGTCACGTGGGTGGCGGGCACGGTGCGGGCGCACGTTCTACGACGGTTGGCCTGTGGAGCGGCGTATCGCGTGCGAATCGCAGCCCACGGGCCGGCTGGCAGTTCTCCGCAAAGCGCAGAGCTGGACGTCTCCACCAGCGGCGGTTGTGAGTACACACATTGTATACTATCCAACTGCACGAAATTAAATAATACTCACCGGCAAAGCATAGTGCGTCAAATGACCTATAATCACACGTATAAAAAATGGTGTGTCCCAACTTTTCGCGTCAATGGAGTTAACTGCTAAAGCATTTGTGAGACCATTTTCAATTATTTATGCGTACACTATTATTTATTGTTGTTGTCTGATCGATTATTTTATTCATACCGAGATAACTAATAATATTTTTTCGAATAGTGTGTTGATACTTGTTTATGTTGATGCAAATAAATCGTACAACTCGTTGAAACTAACACATATAACAATATCAGCTTAGTATCTTGTGTTTCACTATATTTACACGTACAGAGGGGCAACATAGCTATATACTTAGAGTTACATACAGTATAAAAACCAATATGTCAACGATATAAATTATATATTAAATCTTTACCTATGAAATTACTTACAATATCAGTGTCAATTGCGCCAGCACAGCGATAATTGCATTATTTCAATTTGATGGCAGAAATAGATATGGAGGTGGTACATATTCAGACATACTTCTAGAGAGTAAGGGGAGTCCCACCAACTAATAAACACAGATAATAAACGTGTTAAAATTGACAAAATATTTTTTCTGGAATAAATTATTATGTATAATTTTTAAATTGCAGCCCCAAAACCAGCGCTTGATAAACACCTGTTCACAACAAACAGCTCCTGCATCCGTCTCAATCTTCTCACATGGGACAGCAATGGGTGTCCAATCAACCAATTTGTGATATCAGTTAAGAGTACGTATTTTTAAGTTAGCATATAATTTTATAAATATCTATAATCTTATTATTCTTAATCTTTAAATAAATATACTGTTACGAGCTTGAGGTTCGTGACAATAAAAATTGCCGATAAAATTACCTAAATTAACACTTTAATTTACTTTACACAAATTAAAGTTAAAGACACTAATAATTAAACACACTTATTCACTTTATTCCGCTCCGAAGCTTCGCTTGTTTCGCCAAATCAACACTACTTCGATCGCATCTTGCAGCGCCTACTTATATAAGTTAGCAAAGAAATATCCAGAATGTTAAAGTAAACACGCGCAAGGTACCGAGCGTTCGAGTTTCGACTAGGCGTTGTCGGTTGAGTGATTTGTGATGTCATTTTCTCAATGCTCCCCTCGATCTCGTCCCTGACACTAGATGGCGCTAGTGTATCGTTGACTGGAGCGCGTAACACTGCCCCCTCCTAAGACATGCTCGTCCCGAGCATTATTGGCCCCATAATAACGTGCCAAGCGATTCACATGGACGATCTTAGGAGTCCCTCTTGCGCCTTTCTGTAACGGCTCCGCAATGTCAAGGGCTGTCCTATCCCGTGGTGCACCAACATTGTACAATTTCGGTGCTCCTCTACTACGTGTCCGAGGTCCCCGCTCGGCCGCACAACTTGTACATGTACGACACCAATCCTCGACATCGTCACGATAATGGACCCAGTAAAACTGTTCTCGGACCTTCAGTAGAGTTCGTTTAACTCCCAGATGGACTCTTGAACGACCATTATGGCACAACTGTAGAACATTCGGCACTTTAGCTTTAGGGACAACCATTTGCAAACGACAGCTGTCTCTTTGACCATTGTCCCATTTACGGCACAGGACTCCATCCTGAATCAGCAAGCTGTCCCATTGGGCCCAATAGCTTTTCGTGGTTTAACTCATCGCTGAGACGTCCCTCCACTTAGGCTTGGTAGCACGGGCCTTCATCCATCCCAGAATCGGCTTGATGTCCGGATCTTCCTGCTGTGCATGTCGTAGGTTGTCCTTCCACCCGTTGCTGAGGTGGTCTGTCCTGAGCATCCTCACGGATACCACCTCCTTACTCTCTTGCCTACTACAATGGTTGCAATCTTCAGGACAAGGTCTTCTTGACAATGCATCTGCGTTGCCGTGAGATTTCCCGCTGCAGTGTCTGATAGTAAAGTCGTATTCCTGCTGCTGCTGGGCGGTGCTGTTAGCCGCACTTCCTTTCTGAGACCGTTCACCTTCCCTTCCTAGGGTGTGCTTAGGGCAGCTGGACCGAAGATGGCCCCTTTCCCCACAGCCATAGCACCTAGGGCTGTATCTTTTATTGTGGTCGCGAACCGTAACTGCTGTAACCTCCCTAGCGTGAGGTGAACGATGATCCTGTCGCCGCCAGGCAGTGCCGTTAGCTGCACTACCCTCTCGAGATCGATCAACTCTCCTTTCCACGGTTCGTTTAGGGCAGCTGGATCGAAGATGGCCCTTTTCCCCACAGCCATAGCACCTAGGGCTGTATCTTTTGCTGCGGTCACGGACTGTAGCTGCTGCAACCTCCCTGACGCGTTGGGAACGATGATACTGCCGCACGGCTTCCACCTCCAGTGCATGGGCCAAGGCGTTCTTAAGCGTCTCGTGGTGCCCGAGCCTCACAGCAGCTCTGACTTCCAGGTCGCGGATGCCGTCGATGAATGTCTGCACAAGGTTCCCTTCAATGAGCGCAGGTACAGACCGGTATGCTTTCCGCACCAGCTTCTCCACCTCTAGAGCCCACTGCTGCAGGTTTTCGTTGATGCGCTGCACACGATCTTTAAGCTGCGCACGAAAGACGTGTTCCAGGTGAGCGTCGCCATATCTCGCCTCCAATGCCTCAAGGAGTTACTCATAAGTCACTTCCTCACCGAGAGCTTCCAGAACTGTTAAGGCCTGGTCACGCAGGCCTAGCGTGAGAGCAGTCATGGCCTGACTTTTATTCCAGCCGTTCGCCTTCATAACAGCCTCGAACTGGATTTTGTAGGCTGACCAGGAAGAAGTCCCGTCGAACGGTGGTACCTTGAACCCACGTAGCGAAGGTGTAGTAGCTACTGTGGGGGGTGCAATTCCATCTCCAAGTTTGAGTTCATCCAGCGTTTTCTTAACTTGGTTGATTTGGGTCTCAGCTTCCGACAGGCGGTTATCATGTTGAGCAACCTTATCCTTCACCTCCCTTATCTCTTTCCCGAAGGTAGCGTGAAGGTCCTTCATGAGAAGCATCTGCTCTTCCCTATCGCGATTGAGCTGCTCTTCTAAGCGACGGGCCTGTTCCTCCTGTCCGCTCTGCAGCTGCTCTTTCAACAGACGGGCCTGTTCCTCTCGTCCGCGCTGCAGCTGCTCCTGTAGCATCGCCATCAGAGCACCTAAGTCAGGTGCTGCAGATGTAGGAGCTACTGACGGGCCCGCAGTCTCCGTGGCTGGCAGTTGGCCCTCCGACGTCTGCGGCGTTGCACCACCAAATCTCCTCTGGTCCGTCTCATGCTGGCGTTAACTGCGGGTACGAACACCCTCCGTTTCCTCCTTAGGTAAAATCGGCATGATTTAATCCCACTTCTGACACCAATTGTTACGAGCTTGAGGTTCGTGACAATAAAAATTGCCGATAAAATTACCTAAATTAACACTTTAATTTACTTTACACAAATTAAAGTTAAAGACACTAATAATTAAACACACTTATTCACTTTATTCCGCTCCGAAGCTTCGCTTGTTTCGCCAAATCAACACTACTTCGATCGCATCTTGCAGCGCCTACTTATATAAATTAGCAAAGAAATATCCAGAATGTTCAAGTAAACACGCGCAAGGTACCGAGCGTTCGAGTTTCGACTAGGCGTTGTCGGTTGAGTGATTTGTGATGTCATTTTCTCAATGCTCCCCTCGCTCTCGTTCCTGACACTAGATGGCGCTAGTGTATCGTTGACTGGAGCGCGTAACAATACTATATTTGATTAACAAGGTTTCTTTACAGGACTCACCTAGTTTTATTATTTAATAAATAAGCAAATGTACAGTATCAAATTTGTAAATATTTCCGAAGGTTTTGACGATACTTCCTGGCGCACGCAGACCGTAGAGTTAGAGCCCCACCCACTTAGAATTTGTGATCTACATTCGGCTACTTGGTATCACCTCAGGATTGTTGCAATCAGCACGGCTGGAACCACTACTGCTACATATTACTTCTCAACTTTAACAGAAAACGGAGGTAAATAACTTAAAAATATTTCTCTCTATCACTCTTAATATTGAGATATAGTATAGGGTTAAAAAGGAGCACGCTCTCACAGAATACCAACATAAAATACAACACACACAAATATGCACACATAGAAGAGCGCACGCCTACGCATTGGCATACAAACTCAAACAAACACGCGCACTTGCATAAGCACTTACATACGCAATCCACATACATACGCTCACACACGTGACACTTCAAATACAATTGACAACTTCACTGGTGCTGATGGAGATCGGGCCCGGGTTGCTTGCTTACTGTATAATTTACGGCAAGCACTTACCACCTGAGCTATAACGGATTTACTCATGTTTAAAGTAGAATATGATTAAATATGTTGAAAATCAATTAACTAAGATACGAGTACGCGTAATAAAATAAAATACGACTGCGGTGGTTGACTTATCCATATAGTCATAGTATACTTCACGGTAAATCAACATAAATCAATACAATTATAGTATGAAAATAAATTTATAATTTTAATCATTTTATATAAACATTTCTGAAATGGATTGTTTATCATTAATTTTTTTTATTTAAGTTGTATATTTTGAGTATTTACAATTGTTAAATCGTTGTGGGTTTTCAAAATAAATAATAAGAATTGAGGGAGGGCGGGAGGTGCTCTTCATTTTCATAAATTTGGACCCATCATTTAATTTGTTACGTAATTAATTTTTAACATCTTTACTATAACGGATTTAAACAAAGTAACACCTGATTATATTAATTGAAATGTAATTGTTTTTCTTTTGCGTAGAGCGAATACAGCAACCAGAACAATTTCCACCGGGAGGGGAGGGCGTCAGCATCGGCGGGAGTAGCGGGCTGGCGATGCTGCTTACAGCTGCGGCTTTATTGGCTGCTTTTGTTCTACTCGCTGCCCTTGCTTATAAAAGAAGGTAGTGTCGTGTTTCTTCAATGATTCTGTATGTTCATTCTATATTTTAATCATTACAAATTTCATCATCAGTTAAAGCTCTTTACAAGTCCACAGCTGAACATAGGCCTTCCCCTAACAATGCCACAAAACATTAAAAACTATGCCTTAAATATAAAATATTCAATGGCGTTCTTCAATCTTGTCTCCTGTCATTCAGACAGTAAGCTTATGTGCACAAAATTTCCTTCTTTATTATTTTTTTGTTTTCATTGTTTGTTATATTTATTAGTACCTAACTAATTATAATATAAGCTACTTGCAAATACAATTTTGGAAATATGCAATAGAAATTAAATTCAAAACTAGCCCTTAAATATATTTTAGAATCAAAGTTACACTAATTGTATATCTACCCTCAAACAGCAGTTTGCGCACTGTTGTATTCCGATCTGAAGGGTATAGGGTACCAGTATAAATACAAGCAGTAAGGCGTATTATCTGTCCTCAGAAGTGACAACGCATCTGTTGTTGTTTGAAGTTGGTTGCACGTTCACTTATCATTGGTTGGACTTAATTATTGTATATATTTACGCGAACAAAACACATTGAATGAACTCGAGCAATCAGGTGTTAGTTAATATCAGTGCACAAAAAAGAGCTACTTTTATTAAAATTTAGATTGTACCTTTCCAGCATAACACACCCCTGTTTTAGAAAGGGTTACGAACAAAGTGGAATCACAGAGGAAGAAGAAAAGTCAGTTGAGAAAAGAGACAATCGACGCAACTGCCAACAAGTGTACACGTCCTCGCCTATCAAGCATCCGAGTAGTAAAAAGGAACAACAAGGTACAGTCACGCTCATAAATAATATTATAATTCTACCAAAAACATATATGTGTAAACGGGGCCAAGTTTGACGACGACGAAAAACGCTCAAAGTTGTCGACTTTATCATTAAAATGTTGAGGTCTGAACTAATTAAAATAAATTATATTTATGTGTATGAAAAACAGTCTGAGTTATTGAAAAGCAAGTGACTGACATGCATCGCCCTTTTCTTTTCCGGACGTTGTTGATGTTCTGCTATGTTTCTGAAAATATAAAAACAATTGTCTTGATTAAAAAAGAAAATAAGGTAACATAAGACGTTCAATGAAGCGCATTTGTGTATCAGAATTGTGACAAATGAAAGTTGGGAGTCTGTGCCTACCCCTCGGGGTGACTCGAAATTTATGTTTAAGGTCATGTCAATCATGTGGATATAATATTATCGTATTTTAGACACGATTTTGACCAGAGATTATTAATATTTGAAAAAATATATGCTAACATCAAATACTCAACTAAATTGTTAATCGAATGAGTTTTCCAAATGCGTTTATAAACACTAATCGAAATAAAGAAATATAACGAAATACAACTTTGACAAAGGCATGTTTGCAAAAGATTTTTCATCGGCTACATTTTTATTTAGACCATTTTATTTCCTGATAATAAGCAAAACGTTTCAAATAAAGTAACTTTTTGTCCACCAAATGTTTTACTACGTACTGGTTAATTGTTGATATAGCGGAGACCTCACCTTAGTGTTTATGTATTGGATGATATTCGTACAGAGATGTACGAGATCAGCCCGTACGCGACGTTCAGCATGGCGGGCGGTGCGAGCGATGCAGGTAGCGGGAGTGGCGCGTGCGGCGTGGGGGATGTGGGGGTAGCGGGGGAGGGCGGGGCCACGCTGCGCACGTTCGGGCGCGCCGAGCCCGCGCCGCTCAGTGCCGCTCCGCCGCACCGCACCCACTGCCACCGCGACCCGCACCACCCCGGTACACTTTAAATAAAAATCCTTTCATTTAGCCACCGCTTGAGGGTAGCTCACATATTATTTAGCTGAATTCAAGAATAAAAGATCAACAATTCGATTGTATGTTATTTTATCTATTTGCACAAAAAGAATGAAATAAGTATACATTCAGAAATCGGGGCTTTAAGTAATAAATCTTAGAATTTTATTAAAATTTAAGTTTTTAGTAAAAAGTAAAATATCTGCTTCTGTATTTGAAAAGCCAGCGACTTATTATATTATTTCGTAAGACATTACGGGCATTATATTCGATAAATATATAAACATAATAAATAAATGAATAGTAGTAAAAATTTTAGTAATTTTTTACTATCGCAGCCCCTCGTTTTTTGGCTCTATAAAATTGAAAAATCATCCGATTTCGATGATTTTTTAAATTTTCGCTTTTACGGCGGATTTACGAAAAAAGTTACAGGAATAGTAAAACTTATATTGGTTTCAGGGCTTTAAATTTTCATGAAAATGCACTCATTCAGGTATAATTATTGATAACTTTTTAAAAATAATCGAATGATATTATTACATTTTTTTCTCAATCTACACAAAAAAATTGTTTATAAATTTTTTATTTTGGTGAATTATTGAGTGTAAGATCGAGCGAAGCTAGCTCGGGATTTAGGGCATCCCGACTCGGACAGGTTAGGTTAGAAGAAGATGGCGGGGCCGAGTGAGCGAGCGAATAGACCCCGCTATATCCTTCGTAGTTATTTTTTTTTTATAAAAGTGGGGACAAACAAGCATGCGGCTCACCTGATGTTAAGTGACTACCGCCGCCCATGATCAACCGCAACACCAGGGGTATTGCAGGTGCGTTGCCGGCCCTTTAGAAAGGAGTACGCTCTTTTCTTGAAGGTCCCCAGGTCGTATCGGTCCAGAAAAATCGCTGGTGGTAAACTATTCCACAGAGAGGTTGTACGCGGAAGAAAACTCCTCTTGAAACGTACAGTGGTGGACCGCCAAGCATCCAGATGGTGTGGATGGTATCGGGACGTTTGCCGCGTAGTGCGTTTATGAAATTTGGCGGCTGGGATCAATCCGAACAATTCCTCAGAGCACTCTCTATGGTATATGCGAAAGAAAATGCAAAGAGATGCAACATCTCTTTGCAGGGCCAGTGAAACGAGCCGATCGGAAAGCACTCGGTCGTCAACGATTCGAGCCGCTCTGCGCTGAATGCGGTCAAGTGGAAAGAGCTGGTACTGGGGAGCCCCAGCCCAGAGATGGGAACAGTATTCCATGTGCGGCCGAACCTGCGCCTTGTAAAGTTGCAGGCGGTGTGTCGGCATGAAATACTGTCCCGCTCTGCTGTGCACGCCAAGCTTTTTAGAGGCCAATTTGGCCTTCCCTTCCAAGTGCCCACGAAACTGCACGTCACTCGATATGTTGACGCCAAAGATTCCGATACTGGCTGAGGCAACAAGGGGAGTGCCTTCAAACTGAGGAGATACGACAAAGGGGTTCTTTTTAGCGCTTAATAAACCACTCAGAAGTAGGAGCCCCGTACATTGAGTGGGGTGGTGCTTCCCTCCCCCAACTCTCTCCCGTAGCGTAGTCGAGGGAAGCCCAGTCTTCTGTGTGGTTTATAAAAAATAACCACGAAGGAGATAGTGGGGTCTATTTGGTCGCTTCGCTCGCTTACTTGACCCCGCCATCTCCTTCTAACCTAACCTGTTCGAGTCAGATTACCCTAAGTTTCGAGCTCGCTTCGTTCAATCTTACACTCAGTTAAACACCAAAATATTAACTTTTATAATTATTTCGATTTTATACAGCATTTATGATAACATTTAAAGCCATAAAACATACAAAAACTTTAAGGGAGATATAAAATTAATAAAAAAACATTTTTTATGTTTATTTTCTTTAAAATGTCCCATTTCTTGTATAGATTAACAAAAAAAATATAAACTTCGTTTTATGCTTTGCAAAAAAGTTATGAACAATTATATTCGAAGAAGCGCGTTTACAATCACATTTAAAGTCATAAAACTATATGAAATCTTCAGGTGAGATATTTTCCATATTTTTTTAAATCAGCCATAAAAAAAGAGGATTTAAAAAATTCATCGAAATCGGATGATTTTTCGATTTTCTAGAGCCAAAAAAAGAGGGGACCGCGAAAGATTAAGAAGAGAAAATTACCAAAATTTTATGACTAATATTACTTAGTAATATTTATATTAATATCAGTTTCTTTAGCCGCGCATAAAAATTCCCGCAACCGGCAACGCTCCCCCAATACATCTGTTGTTGCACATATTCATTGAAGAACTGCATACCCAATAACCCCTCCTTATATAAAAGGAAATCCCCAACAGTTGAGTGTACAAACACTGTCACCACTAAACCTAGCACCACTATCACCAATAACACTCCAACCTCTGCACTAGGAAAATAACACCAGTGTTGATGATACAACACGCGTTATGCCTCTGAACAATGCATGATCAGGACATATACATTTTGCCATAAATACACTCTTCATAACAATTTAAACCCCTACAGCTCTACTGCTAGATTACATACTTTGGTCCAATGACGTCGATCTATAGTATTTTGTACAGTAATGATGCGATGCGAGATTGGAGAGATTCAGACTTAATTGCATCTCCATGGATGCAGGTGACACAGTTCGGTGTTATGTGGCATTATTTGGGTTAGATCTACACTAGGTTGTGCATATGAGAGAGATTTAAGAAAAGAGAAAAATTATATTTCAAATAATAATTAATTTTTTATTTATATTTACACCTGTACAAGGTGCATACTATTGTGACGAATTTTTTTACAGACGGGAAAGTTATATTAAATCTTTACCTGAATTTCAACAGATGATTACGGATTATCAAGAGCAATGACGTTGACGGTTCGTCGTTCGGAGTCAGATTCAGACTCCAGCGGCTCGCCGTGCGCGGAGTGCGGCGCCGCGGCCTACCGGCGTCCGCTCGTACCCGCTAAAGGTATACATTTTACTTCTAGAGATTTCTGATTCCTTATAATATTAACGCGACTACTACACATTAAATAAAATTCATGATCTTCCTTAAAAGACTGCAATATGTTCTAAATGAACGGTTTCCAACGAAATCCCAGTTATTTCATAAAGTGTACTGTTCATTGAAAAACTCTAAAAGTACCTTTATATAAAATAAGCATAACATGCGATTACATAGTTGGCGTATGCTGTTGCCCATATACTTCTACATCTATACTCGATTAATAATCAAACTGCAGAATGCGTTATCCCTGCAGATTAAGATGAAATGCCTCGTTTCGAGTAAAGTATTTGGTTCTCTACTATCATCATAGAGCGGCATTAAGCTGTTATTTTACGCTTGTATTCTGAGACAGTACAGTCCTTGTCCGATCGAGTCGACTCATTCGTGCTATGATCATCATAGAGCTGCAGCGTGGAACCACCACGTAAAAATACTTTACCGTTATCGTAACAATCTATTAAAGTCCACTGCTGAACATATGCCTCCCCCATAGATTGCCCCACAGAAGGGATATTTGCCATAGTATCCACGATTGGTAGGCGGATTGACAACCAAAGTTTTTTTGTTTTTAGTCGTTGTGAGGAAAACGCTGCCGTCTATTACCTGATTTGTATCCCTCTGTCGCCCCTTACGACACCCACGGGATGATATGGTATCGTGGACATTCTTACACCGCCACTACACGGTTTAAAAACATACTTTAGTCGTTCCAAAATATTTAGCATGTAAAATTTTGAGACATTATCTTATTAATCAAGGGTGACGATAAATATGTTGTCTTTGTTTGAAATGTGTTGCATGGTAATGCGGTCCATGGCTTACTGAAATGTTAAATGCCCTGATATCATAGTTAAACGAAGGTACCCCTACCTAAAGATTGGTTAGGCTCACTTATTCGCTACGTACAGTCACCTCAAATAACCGATCCGATCCCATAAAGCCGATCGATTATATTTAATATACTTAGAAATAAGTTTAATGTCAATATTTACTTCACACTAACTATCATTGTTAATGAAGTCTCTAAATGTAAACTTCCGTTCATGATCATCCTTAAAAACTGTTAGAAACCTTTTCTGAATCGCCTGTTTAAATCGAATTCCTAGTTATTTCACAAATACGATAAACGAGCACACAGTCCACCTTAGTGGATGGTGTGGCCCATATACATCTATATCTAACATCGATTATGAATTAAAATGTAGAATGCATTGTTGCTGAAGACTACACATTTCGTGGGGATTGAAACGGAATGCCTCATTTCGAGTAAAATTATGTTTTCATTCATAATTATAATAAATATTATATTGTCAATTAACATTTAAAAAATGTCACGCTGGGTTTCTTGCTAGTTTTCAACCACCTTCAAAAAAAAGTTATATTGGATAAAAATAACTCTATTCTATTCTTGTCTTTATCTAGAAGAAGCTTTTCGTGCGGTGACGGACTCTAGTGCCGAATCAGCAGTGGACGCGCGCTCTCTAGCACCACGTCGCCGCCCACGTCGACATCACACACCCACCACTAGGTAAGTATTTAGCAAAGAAATAATTGTTTTGAGCAATAAGTAAGGTTATCTGATAATGACTTCACTAAATACTCTAAACAGAATAATCTAGAATATTCCACGTAAAGAAACGTTAACTTAAAAGTAATAGACTAATAAATAAAAGATAAAGGTTGCCTTCTTTTAGGCATATATTATATAATTTAATATGCTACTTGATTAGGTACCTTTATAATAATAAATGTGACTATACGAATATAAAAAAACATGATAATTAGATGGAAAGCAATATTTTGCAAATGCACACCATCTAGCGGCGAAGTTACGAACTAAACCGCTTCTTATAAACTTTACTAGTTCCGATTCTTATAACTAGATAGCGCTTTAATATAATTTATTAAAATTTTTAATTTCAAGTTTATTTTTTTAATCGTATATTGCAACTAACGTTCTTTTTTCAGATACCAACAGCGGCAAGAACAGGAAAGAAGAGACTTTACAATTCATGTGTAAATTTAATAAAGACAATAAAGACTGTTCAAAACAAGTTTAGTAAATTATTTTAAATTGTTAATTAGGTTAGGTAACTACTAGAGTTCGTTTAAATATATACTGTAGATAGAACGATGCGAATCCTGTAGATGTAACTACTATTATTTATTTATATTCTTAGCCGACTTCAAAAAGAAGGAGCGTATCAATTTGATTGTATTTTTACATCTATGCATTTTACGCGATATAGGTATTCGCTAGTTGTTAACCAAAAGGGAAATTAGGGAACGAATTTTTTATACAACTATTTGGACGAACATTATTAATATAAATAGGCATTTTAAACGAAGTCCGTGCGCTTCACCACCTTCCGCTCTATCACCTTCCATCAAACCAGGTCAGGCACTGGCTTATTATAGTAAAAAGATTATATTCTAGATTTCATCCTGATATGTTATGTTACATTGTTTGTTCCACTCAAACTAATCAAAAATTTTATAAAAACAAATAAAAGTATACTTCAAAACATTCTTTTTTAATTTTCAATAGCTTCTAAGCAGTACATTAACTTCTTTTTAGAAGATATTAAATGCTTTATTTCTTCGATGCACTTTGTAGGGTCGACTTCAGAAGCTATAAGTAATCTATTAAAATTATTTCTTTAAGTTTTATGAAGCAGTTTTAATTTTGTTAATAATTATATTTGAAATTTTCTTAAATTGCTTGTTTCACAAACTTTTACTTATTACGAGTATTTTCTATATTTCATTTTCATTTCAAAATTAATAATGATAAGGACCTTGTAAAGGAATAAAAATTTTATAACAATAAAAGACGAATTGCAACTGTATCGAACGAAATGTAAAATCAGTAATTTTTTTTCATCTATTTGACACCGCATCGTTCTATTTACATTAACACTTTTACACTATGATAATGTTAAAATAAAACATGCTACAAAGAAATAGAGATTTTATATGTTTTGTACTTAATGTAAAATTTCGGCCTATTCAGGATATTAAGATGAGGACAATAAATCATCCCATCACTCTAAATTAACAAAAATACATGTTATATAATCGTTGCGACAACGTTACTTTACGTTAGTTATTTTAACTTTTAATTAAAAATAATTTGTGTCAAATAAACTTAAACTGATGATGATGGGGAAAACATTATGCAGTTGTTTGATTTCAATAATTACAAAGGCTCAATAATTACGAAAAATTCACATCGGTGTAGGCAAACTATAGCGCGGTGAAAGACAGCAGAGCTTAGTAGTAACGCGATGCATTTTTGAACTTTGCGGTAAGCTACTTACCGCATCGTGATATTTTGTTAGCAAATAATTAAGTCTGATTTGTATGAAGATATCTGCAAACTCAATCAATATTATTATTGTATCACCCACAATATTATTGCACACAAGGTATGCATGGGATCTTATTGTTCTGCAAGTGTTTTTACCAGACAATATTTTGCGCTAATAACTGTTGTTACCAGGGAATGAACGAAGCACACTTATTTACCTTTATATCATTGTTCATAAATTCATACTCGATTTCCGTACAATTGTTTTTCTTGTAAGTTTAACAATTCTAACTGATATTAGGTAGCTTCTACTTACGGCTGTAACTACATTAGACGTAGTACTGGTTCTGTGAGCACTAAATTTTATTACGGTAAAAAGTATCTTTTAATTTCATTCCATTTGGCGTCAATATTTTTGTGTATTTTTTTTTAAATTGTACTCTGTTACGTTACTCTCAGTGAACATTGTGAATTTTAGAAGCGTTACATATAAATTAATTGCAAATTCTTAAAAATTCCACGTGACAAACGAACATGGAGTCCCCCTTATGGTAAGTGGTAGCGGCGCATAGCCTACTTCTATCTTCAATTAAGAATCAAAATGTAAATTAATCAGTCGTGTTACAACCATAATATACTTATAGCTGCCGCATAGCTCTACCACGTTAAATTGATTGAACTAAACCTAAAAATATATCTTATTCTTAAAAAAACAAATTACAGCCTTAGTTTGTGAGTCACTATTACCATAAAAAAATGTATTGTTTTTAATTTTTATTATATTTAAAAAATCATATCTTTAGAACCTTGTAAAAAGTAGGTGATATGTAGAAAATAATCGATAAATTAATTACTATTAATAAATGTTTAGATGTAAGATAAATATTATTTGTGAGTATCAAATAAGAGCAAACACAAGATGCCAACGCAAAATTATTTCAATATATATATATTTATATATATATATATATATATATATATATATATATATATATATATATTAAGTATACTTAAATTAACATTAATCTGTATGTACTTTACCTTGGATTTAGATATTTATTTAATACGTTTTAAGTTTATTAGAATAGTCAGAAGCAGGGCGACTACATATTCTTTACATAATCTGATTACTTACGCATCAGTTTTATAATATATTTACAATTTAGATTACTTTGATGGGTGGGTGACAGGGTTATTAAGCTGTCAAGAGAAATAAATGTCAGCGGGATATATACATGTAGTAGGCTTTTAAATTATTATGTTTTATTATTATTGAATGAAAACATTCAATATTTTTAATAAGAGATCTAAATTTAGTACCTGAACTGGGCAACGTTATGTAAAAAACATTCACAACAGTTCAGGTACTAAATTCAGATTCAGTTCAGAGCTAAATAATTTAAAAGCTCTGAAGGTAGCCATCGCTTCAGTTGAAAATTAATTTCATAACAGTCAACAATACCCTATTCCTATAATTCAAGGAAAGGATAAAAATAATTATTTGGATTATGTGGAGTCCGAAAATATACCTCATCTTATTTCAATAAGATACTCACCTTAGTAAGAGGAGATTAAGGGACATACTCGAAAAATCTTGTATTGTTGAGTATATTATGCTAGATTTGCGATAGAGTAGACAAAAACGTGGGTTGTTCAATTATTTATAAAGAAATTAAAACCTATAAATAAAGTTTAGGTACACACTATTTTAGAGAAACAATGCTAATTTTATTAACGTATATGTTGCTATGGCACAAACCTTTTAATAATAGTAACTTACTAATAATAATATACTTTATTTCAGACAGCTAAAAATCGATTGTGTTAGTGTAACAAAACTTGAATCTGGTGTTACTAACCTATTTTTTTTTTTTGATTATTTATGTTGAGGGTGATCAAATAAGGAACCTCAGTTGATCATCCTTCACACAAAATGCCTCGTAATATTGTACTCTCCGCCACTGTTTTCAGGACGCTGTTGTAGCAACTAGAAATTTATTTCATTATTTTTTTTGCATTACGAAATATTATATTACAGTATAGTGTTTGTGATATGAATGATAGAAATATCGAATTGTGTAGTTTATAATTTTTAGTATTGATGTTTTAAAAAAATTGTCATGCCAAAAACGTTATGTTCTTATAATGAAAACTAAATAAAATTATTTATTATTAATTTATTATACGATTAATTGTATATACACATTCTTCTACTGCATTAAAATAACCTAATGTTTATCAATAAGATAGAAAAAATTCAAATTGGATGTTGTTAGGCATATATTATTCATAATATTATGTAGATATGCGTTGACCCGTGGTAGATCAGGGGCTAGGTAGGTAACGCTCACTGTAAATTACAAAGTAAGCAAGCAACCCAAAATTTTTGATACTTCTTTTATGTGCTTAGTACGTGTTCGGTGGTAAAGAAGAACATGTTAAGAAAAATATTTGTCTGAGAAATTAAATAATATATTTCGAAGACATGAGATGTCTGCCAACATGCATTAGGGCAGCGCGGCGGACACTTCTTTGCCCTCAAACACTCTCAGAAATAATAGGAGTCCTGTGCCCAGGAGTGGGACCTATACAGGCTATAGTTTTACTTTTTCAGTGACTGCGGCTTGTTTCGGTTTTCTATGACTTTATGTAATTTTTTTATCGCCGACAAATTGTTCAGTTAATGTTTTAACTATTACAATGAAAAATATCAATCTAAACTAACTTTTAGTATTAATAACTCGTTATTAATGAAATTTAAATTTAATATACTTGTATAACTACATCCAATTTAAGTCCAACTATTAGTGTACAGTTTAACATGCTTGTAATTTATTTAATCTGGTTACCTATAAGCAACAATCACTGCCCTAGTAATTACCAATGTAAATATATTCAAAATACAAACGTAATTCAATATCAAAATTAAATTGTTTTATTTTCACCCTTATGTATACAAAAATGCATCTCCAGCTCAAAAATAAAAATATAATAAAATAAAATAGCCTCTTATGCCTCATTAATTACGAGTATGCTTAATTTATTAGATACAAAATCAACAAACATATTTAAGAAACCGTCGACAACCTGGTCCAGATCATTGCCATTTAGAGTGGTAATGCCGTGTTCAAGTATTTATGTGAGTATCATGTGTGTGTGCAGATTATCCTTAAAGATAGGCCAACAGTATATGTATGTATTTATGTATATTTCTTTGGTAGGTACGCTCTGTATCCTAAATGGATCTTAACATATGTGACGTCGTTAGAATCATCTTAGTTGTAGAAATAATAAAGGCTGTAAAACTTTTCTCTTTTCAGTAAACTTTTTTACGCAGTGTTTTTTTATTACATTTTTAACCTCAGTAACGCACATGTTTACTTTTAAAATAACGGTAACGAGTATGCTTAGGCGCACATGGTTATCGTTTAGTAATCTGTAGTAACCAAGGGTAGATATAGACGGGTCCTCACGGGATCCGAAATCTGAGGTGTGCGGTTGGCCTTACACCTGGAAACATGGTTTGTTGGATATTATGCTATGAGATGACCTTGCCTGTTTACGAAGCCTGTTTACGGTTGGAATCTGAATCGCAATGCTAATTCCGGATTACTGCCGACATATTACAGGTACCCATGTAGTAAAAAGTAAATTTTGATGGCAAGGCTTAAAAATTATTTTATTTGTAATAAGCTTATACCTGTGATTTC